CTCACTTGGTAGCCCAGGCTGGCCTCGAACTCACAGAGATCCACCTGGCTCTGCCTCCCGAGTGCTGGGATTAAAGGCGTGCGCCACCAACGCCCGGCTAAAACCTAAACTTTTAAGAAAAGAACATGCTACTATACTGCCTTAGTATTGTGGATATGTACACTTGTATTTTATACTTTGAAGATGTTACAAGCTACAAATTTTATTCTGTCAGAGGTAGAGAAAAATATTTATTAAACTATAAAAATAATTTAGAGGGGGGTGGAGAGATGGCTCCGCAGATAAAAATGCTTTTTGCTCTTACAGAAAAACCAAGTTTGCTTCTCAGAACCCACATTTGGCCACTGATAACTGCCTGTAATTCCAGCTCCAGGGGATGAGTTACCCACTTGTGGCTTCTATGAATGCCTGCACATAAGTGACAAGCACACACATGTGTGTACTTGCACACACGCGTATATACACATGCTTGCACACAGTTAAAAATCAAAACATCTTTAAAAAAATAACTTAGAAATAAGAGGACAGACCTCCATTTGAACAAAAATAGAGACTACATCTTTGGTAGATATAATCATCATTTCTTTTTGAAATGTCCATCCTCTATAGCTAGTGAAAAGATGAAAAATACATAGATGGGGGTCGTGGAAAAGCTAACACTTAGTGAACAACTCTCATGTGTTGTACATTCTCCCAGCCAGCCTCCAAATCATTAAAGTGGGTATTGAGTTCCTCACTGTCCACATAATTCCAGCATAAAGGTCTAATCCACCCGCTACAGCTTGCCAGCACACAGCAGCTAGGGTGTGGGTCTGTTGACCCAAAGGAGGGTCCTGGCTAGGAGTACCAGCAGCATTCACTCCCCAGGCTTCTCTTGTCCTCTGTTTAAATCTTGCTACAGGACTAACAGACCCTTTTGTTTTTACATCAGCACATGTGGGCAGATCTTGGGGTCTCCTAAGAGTTGGTACCCACCCAGGATCCACTGCTTCTCACCACTTCAGAGCCTTTGGAGGGAACAGGCTTCCTGGGTGTTGGTTAGCAGGAGGGCTTTGAACAAGGCATTGTCCTGGCTCAGGATGTATTTAAATTCTTTGTTTTCAGCTCTTGAGACATCTTTACTTATCCCATCCCACCCATAGACTATCTTGTACTTTTTATACTTTGAAGGCATTACAAGTTACAACATTTATTCCATCAGGCAAGAGAAGACCTCTAGTCCACGGAAAGGAAAGAATTACTAAATTAACTTAGAGGGGGTTGAGGTTGGTCAGGTACTGACATGATCATCTTAGGGCTCTTGTTTCTAGTTCTGTTTTAATTAATAAATAATAATGGCAAGTTCAGGAAAAATACACTATTTGATTTTTAGAAGATTATTTTAATTTTCTTACAATGTACCTAATTCACTAAGTGAGAAAGAGAAATTTCGGCATTGTGGAAAACAGAATTCGGAAGGTTCTGTCTTGCGTAGGAATGAGTTGTTTCCTTTCCTACATATTTTATTTGTAACCTTATCATCCACAGCATTTATAATTGAAATAGGTGGGGCTATTGTGCTCTGCTTTTATGCTTTGCCTCTTTGTCAGCTTATCTGATTGTTAGAACTGGATTAGAAGTCTTTTCTGTTTCTTTTGCTGGACTCGGGAACATTGTGCTCTAATAAACAGCACTGCCAGCTCAGAGCCTCCGGATTTCACTTAGGAAAGGAACTTCATTTGGGGTCTGTTCTGTTTTACCTCTTTCCCAGTCTCTAGTCCAGCTCTCCCAAGAAGGAAAGAAAACCACTCTAACAGAAATCAGGAGCTGTGGCAACAAAGAGATGAGTCTGTGTTACACTTGACTTTAGTTAGTAAGGGGATAGAATTGTACTTGTTACTAAATGTTTCCATTTTATGTCATAGAGAGATTGATTCTTCATCAGACAGAAGGACGGTCAAGGGAGGGGGCACTACCCTTTTAAATAGAATGTAGATAGAAATGTCTTCAAATACAACACACATATTACTAAGGACAGAAGTCCAGTGACTATATTTACACACATGGGAAGTTGCTCTTATTTTTAATTCCTTGATTTTGACCATCATTTTTATGGAATGTTACTGTTCCGATGAGAGCAGGAAGCCAGGGGTCCTTGATGGTTTCTTTCAGAATTTACAACTTTCTGTGTTTTCACACTGTTCATAAATAGGGTTCTACTCTTGAGTTGCAGCTCAGTATTAAGAAAGAGGACTCCAGAGCCTCCACATGGTACCTGGGGTTATGGGATAGTTCTACCTCTGCTTTTGTGAGCCAAAAAACATGACGTGGTACACAGCCCGAAGCTGCCTCATCAGAAACATGTTTATATCTAAGTCACAGATCAATTACAGCATCATTTGTTGTATTGTTTTGAGACAGGGTCTCTCTATGTAGCCCTGACTGACCTGGAACTCACAGAGATCCACTTGCCTCTGCCTCCTGAGTGCTGGGATTTTTAAGGATGTGTACCACCACATGCAACTCAGATCAATCACAGTTACTGGCAGAATTATCTTCAAGCAGAAACCCACATCTCGAACTGTTGCATACCGTTGAAAGAATGCACAGTGTTGCCAAGTAGACACCCACAAGGCATGATATATGGCTCATTCCTCAGCAGCGATTGTGGATGTGAGGAAATGGCGATGCTTTTAGGCTCTTTCCTGAGGTCGGGTGAGGCAGCTGTGGGGTTGGGTTTAGGTGAGATGCAGGCTTTGGTGCTGGTTGTGGGCTTTTCAGAGACAGGACTGACCGTTCTCTGTGTTTTATCTCCTGATAAAACTTGTGAGAAAATTCCACCCTGGACACACATATTTTGATTTAGCATAGATGAGACTTGGCCCCAAAGCAAGCAGCAGCCTCGAGGATGAGGAAGCGGGGGAAGAGATGGTGAACACGACCCTCTTCACCCATACCATGCCCCATATCTGTGCCCCAAAATGGCACCAAGACTGTCAGAGCCTCACAAATGCAGATTTGGTCTAGCCTGAGATACAGCACTCTAGCCATTTACACTCTGCCCTTTATGTAGGGATCTAAGGTAAAAGTCTTTTCAGAAGGCAGCTTCCAGAGCAGCTGGGGGTAGGCCACTTCCAAAGGCCTGTCCTGATCTGGGCATAGAGCATCCACTCCTCTGAAGCTGAGGCTGCGGAGTTGGTTACACTGAGACCAGAGATTTTCCTTCCCTGCACAAAGTTTTGTAAGGGAAGTAAGAAACTTTTCTTTGTTAAGAAGACATATGGTAGTTCTGGGTGCACTCTGGAATCAGGGATGGTAAGAATGTTGCTAACACCTGGGCGAGCTGGCTCTGCATCAGACTAGGTCAGCACAATAGAGCCAGCCCTGTTAGTGGAGGTGTGGGCATGGGAGAGTTGTCCCCATTTCTCCTCTGTCTTGTGGTGGCATGGCCTGGGGGAGAGCTGGTCCTGTGGTCATAAGTGTGGGAGAGCTGTCCCTGACTCCCACTAGCTGCAACACTTGGGAGAGCAGGCCCCGCACCATGCCAGGGCAGCACAAAGAGCCAACCCTGTTAGCAGAGGTGTGGACGAGTCAGCCTCAAAGTTGTGAGCATGGGAGAGTTGTCCCCATTACCTACCTGTATGGTGGCAGCATGGGGGGTGGGAAGAGCTGCCATCCTCTGTTTCACCTATCAACACCTGAGGCAGGTGGAAGAGCTCACCCTGTAATCATAAGAGCGAGAAAGCTCTCCCTGATCCCCACCAGCTGCAGCACTCGGGGAGAGCAGGCCCTGCACCTCTCCAGGACCGTACAATAGAGCCAACCGTGTTAGCACAGGTGTGGGTGAGCCAGCCCCGAAGATGTAAGCAAGGGAGAGTTATCCCCATTTCACATCTGGGGGACCCAACCCTACAGCTGCCCAGGCCCAGACACAAGGATATGACTTGGCCCGACCCATCAACCACCCCATCTATGATCTGTTGGAGTGAGTGAAGGGACCTGACCTGCTGATCCAAAGCTGCAGGATCTCCACAACACAGGGCAACAACAGATGATATCCAGGAGGAACCCTAGGAAGAGCCCAGTATCCATAGAGTAGTAGAGGCCCTGAACTAGACCAATGACGCTTTGCAATGAATACTTGCAAGTAAAGATATAAGGACAAAGGGGTTCACATCACGACTCACTGTATCACACTGCAGCATCCATGATGAGATTTTTAAGTTTTTCCCGTATTTTATTTCCTTTTTACTCTTAAATTTTGTTTTATTTGGGAGTGTGTGCAGGGGCAGAGGGCAGATGTGAAGGGATAGGGAAATGAATAGGATCAAGATACATGATATAAAAGACACATAAAATGAATGAATGAATGAATGAATGAATGAATAGAAAAAATAAAGACTATTGCTAGATCTGTGATCATCTGTAAATGCTGATGATGCTTTAAAAAAAAAACTAGTACCATATATGAACAAAACATGTCTATTGAGGGAAGAAACTGATTGAATCTGTTATCTAACAGGAAGAGAAGAGTGAGACTCTAGAGCCAATGTGTTTTTTTATTTTAATTTGTTTACTTTGGGTTTTTTTTATTCTTGCTGTTGGAGAGATTGAACCTAGGGCCTTTGCGTATGCTAAGCATATGCTTTTCCAGGGATCTAGGATCCAGATGCTTAGCCTTGTAGCTGTGCTGTCTCCGTGGGCTCCCAGGGGAGCACGCCTCTTGGGAAGCCTGGACTTCTTGGTATGTGCTGGTGAGGGAAGTGTTGATGCACACTTGGAGATGCACACTTGGAGATGCACAGGGCTGCTGTGGGGAGAAGGAGGACCACAATGCTGCTCAGTGTTAACAGCAGGTTGTGTTCCACACTGGACCCCCTGCAGCCTTCCCATTTCCACACAGAAAGCCTGCTCCACACACTGACTGGATATTTGTCGTCAGATGTCTAATTTTAAAACTTTAAAGCCCCTCTGTGGCCCTGGATCATGGGGGGGGGGGCGGGGGGGAGGGGAGGAATGTACCTTAAACATTCTGAGTGCAGGAAGTCAAAATTCCTTTCTACTTCCAAGCAAACAGAGTGTTGCCCATGCGCCTCTCCTGGAGTCTGCATGCCTCTGGGTCTACCTGGGAAACTCATAGGAGCTTCACTTGAAAGTGCGTGACTTGTTTTGATGCTACAATTAGCTTCAGCATGTCACTCACCCTATTGTTGGGTCGAGGGCGGCATCACAGGTGACTTTTCTGCCTAGGAGTCCTCGTAAATGTGTATCATTAAGCACAGAACGTAAATGATTTGTTTTTCTTTTCTCTCAGGAAGCTGACAGCTGGGAAATTATAGAAGGGCTGAAAATAGGCCAAACCAATGTCCAGAAACCAGACAGGCACGAGGGATTTATGCTGAAGAAAAGAAAATGGCCTTTGAAGGGCTGGCACAAGGTAATCACCCAATCAGATTGAGGCTGAGAGCATCATCTAGAGATTTTAGTTGTTATTAAGAGGGAAACAAAGGTCACTGGAGCTTGTGAGTTTGAAACCTTGAAAACAAACAAAACCAGCAAACAAAAACCCAGAGAGGAGAGGAGAGAAAGGGGAGACAGAGGACTCGAGGAGGAGAAAAGAAAATGCATTTTGTGGCACTGGGGAGAAAGCTCTCTTGGGTTCTCAGTAGAACCCCTTTGCTTAGGTGTCTTGGTGACTGTCACCTCATTGCAGGAGCAGCTTCATACATTCAGCACCTCTGCTGATGGATTTCATCTCAGAGTAGACGGTCAAACACTTGAGCCAGCCACCAGCTGACTCAAAGCAGGGAGGTGTGGATGACAATTTCTTTAAAGAAATGGGCAGAGGAGAAATGCCGCTTCTACATGTCTCTAGAATAGCATGAAAGCCAGCCAGAGGGGCTTCCATCTAATACAGCTTTCCCTTGTCAGAGACTATCTCTCTCTAGCCCATAATATACCCCAATACCAAGGACTTCCCTCCTCTTCGAACTTGAATGTGGCCAGCAAGTGATTCCTTCTAGGCCTGACTCTGCCTTCTGTCAGCTTTTTTTTTTTTTTAATTTTATTTTATTTTACAATACTATTCAGTTCTACGTAACAGCCACAGATTCCCTTGTTCTCTCCCTTCCTGCCCCCCTCCCCTTCCCCCCAGCACAGCCCCCATTCCCACCTCCTCCAGATCAAGGTCTCCCCCGAGGACTGAGATCGACCTGATAGACTCAGTCCAGGCAGGTCCAGTCCCCTCCTCCCAGATTGAGCTAAGCGTCCCTGCATAAGTCCCAGGTTTCAAACAGCTACCTCATGCTGTGAACCAAAAACTGAGGGGCCCCCAAATGGATCAGGCCCTCTGAATAGGTGAGACAGTCGATTGGCTTGATCTGTTTGGGAGGCATCTAGGCAGTGGTACCAGGTCCTGGGCTTCCGTCAGCTTTTATCTGTCTCCTCACTGGTAGTCTTATTTAGCTCTTTCCTGTGACATCCTGTAAGTTATTCCTGGCTAGACTTCTTTAATAGGAACTTGAAATTGGGAAAGCAGGCCAAAACCACATTTAAAAAAAAAAATGAATTTCTAGGTTCAGTTTAACGTTCTTGACTCAGCAAAATGGCTGTGGACTGACATCTTTCCGGACTCCTTCTGGACTGTGTGTTTGGATATTTCCCATGGAAACAGAGAGAGCATCACCCAGAGCCCTTTCTCCTCTCCCTAACACCACTAAGTATTGATTAAGCATCAGCCCATTTGAATGCCCAAGTTATAGGCAATTGAATGGTTTTTTTTGTGTGTGGAACTTATTTATTCTGGCAGGTACCTGTTGTTTTCAAGAATCCCAAACAAAGGGATTCCAGTGGTCCTTTGTGGGTTCTAGGCAGGATGACTTTTGGGACCTGGCATTCTGCTGTTTCAGCAGCTGTGAGTTCATGCATCCCATAAAAATGTCCCAGCAGAGTAAATTCCAGCAACAAAAGGATGTCCTACATGTGCCGAGCTGGAAAAAGGGCCCACAGCATGGCTGGCTCCTGAGAGCTATTTGACTTTTTTCTGAATGGCCCACAGAAAGGAAACTAACATTAGAGAGTCCTTCAGTGTTTGCAGTTAAAAAATGGCAAATCCACTCATACTGTACCAGGCAGACCTCAGGGCAGACGATCGCCTACCCACCATCTTTTTTAATTCTTTCATTTAAAAAACATTTTTTTATTTATCTTTTGAGAATTTCACACATGTATGCATTGTATTTTGATCATATCCACCCATTTCCTACCCAATTTCCCCCAAGCACCCCCCCCATAAAGTACCTCAGCACATCCTCTTACCAACTTTGTCCCTTTTTGTTGTAATATATGTATATTTCACTGGGCCCACTTTGAGGCTGTTCCCTGGAGCATGGACAACCTACCAGTAGCCACATTCCCAAGGAAAAAGTAATTCTCCCTTCCCTTGTAACCATCAACTACCAGATACAGGGGAGCCCCCTTTTTTATTCTTTATGTGGCTTGGAAATAATATTTAATCTCCTTTACTAATAGTAGAACACAAGCATATTGCCAAGGAGAAAATACATGCATATTGCCAAGGTCACTTAAGCCTTGTAGGTAATTTATTAGCAATGGATCTGGTGTAATGGCTTCTGTAACAGCCATGAGAGTTTTTGGAAAGTGTCCATGGGAAATTCAGGAGTTTAGCTCCTGGGGGAATACTTCCCTGCAGAATAGTATAGAAATCTTTACAGCATTGCTATGATCTCTCCAGGTTATTTTTTCCCTCACTTTTTTTTTTTTTTTTTTTTTTTTTTTTGGTTTTTTTTCGAGACAGGGTTTCTCTGTGTAGCTTTGCGCCTTTCCTGGAACTCACTTGGTAGCCCAGGCTGGCCTCGAACTCACAAAGATCCACCTGCCTCTGCCTCCTGAGTGCTGGGATTAAAGGCGTGCGCCACCACCGCCCGGCTTTTTTCCCTCACTTTTATAATGTCCTAATACAGTTCGTTTAGGAAGCCTGAGTTGCAGGTCCTCAGACCTCCTCCTGGTGAAGATAAACCATGGAGAAAGGACTCCATCCCTAGCATGTGTAAAAGCACTCTACTGGAACTTGGACCCACTTCCTGTGACTGACTGGGGCCAGATGCACTGAATCCATGTATCAGAGTCATCAAACATGTTTAACTGCTGAATGCCAAGCAACCGGCAACGTGCACTTGCGAATGCTTTGTGTAATTCAGAGTACAAACAGTAACTAGGGGTATTTGGTTCTTGCAGCGCTTTTTTGTCCTGGATAATGGAATGTTAAAGTATTCAAAGGCACCACTTGATGTAAGTAGCTCGAAGGACATGTTTTTTTGCAGGTTGATTTAGAATTCGGCTTGAAGTGAGTAAATACTGTAACTGTGCAAGCTCTGTCCATAGTGACCAGCTTTCTGCATGTCTGTGTCTGTACTACTTAACAAGCTACAAACTCTGCATGTTCTAGAGAAGGTATGTTTTATGCTTATACTCAAGAGGGCATAAAGATCTCAAACTAGTGCATGAATATTTAACTTTTTTAAGCAGAAGTTTAAACCTAACAGTGACACATTAATAATATCACCCTTTCTCGCCTCGAGGGAAGATTCTGAAAGTATTTTTTTCTTGGCACTTAGGAGTGAATTCCGTGTTCTTTGCTTTTTGAGATTTAAAGCCCTCCTTGTTTATGTCAAAGTTCCTTTAAAAACGGTCTTTTGTACTTAGTTTGTGTTGCATTCATCTTTTGGTCATGAGAACCTCCACTCATTAAGATTATCCCAAACTGCTTTTTATTACTATCTAAGTAGTACTTTGCATGTGTTATCTCCTAGTCTCTCCCTTCCTCCCGTGTGGTGCAGGGAAAGAACTAAGGGCTTAGAATGAGTTTTGTCTGCCCCTCGGCTGTGGAATCAGCTATGCCCTTGGTCAGCTGAGGACAGCCAGAAGAAGGGGCTGGCTGCTCCCTGATCTCTGGTCTCAGCTGCCCAATTCTGCCCTAGCAGCTGCCATCCAGCTGATTCATGGGTGTCCTGGGTCACGGTTCAAAAGTTGACTTTAGTTATTTTGGGACTCATTGGCGTTGCCTTATTGAGGAGCTAGGGAGCTAAGCATCCTGGAATTATGAAGAGCCGACATTACCAGTTGTGCCCAAAATAGAAGAAGACGAGTCGTGTTGTGTGCTGAAATTGATGTGAAGTCATGACAACTCCAACTTAGGTCTTAGACCTTAGCCACTTTCTCTTAATTAAAAAGAATGTAGTCACCCCGACAAGTGATTTAAAATTTTCCTTGAGCTCACCTTAGTTCCGAACAGAAACACACCAGCCCGTATACCCTTCCAGCATATTCACTCATTTTTTGGTTTCAGATCCAAAAGGGGAAGGTCCACGGGAGCATAGATGTCGGACTGTCTGTCATGTCGATAAAAAAGAAAGCTCGGAGAATAGACCTTGACACGGAGGAACACATCTATCATTTGAAGGTGAATTTGTTTTCAGCATCTGGCATTAGCAGGGGATGCGATTCGCCTGCCCCAGTGGCAGACAGGAGACGGTCTCGGCAGCTGTCTTTCCTTGCTCCCTGTTTCAGGTGAAATCCCAGGACTGGTTCGATGCTTGGGTCTCCAAACTGCGCCATCACCGCTTGTACCGTCAGAACGAAATCGTGCGGTCACCCAGAGATGCGAGTTTCCACATCTTCCCTGCGAGTTCGACAGCAGAGTCCTCCCCGGCTGCTAATGTTTCTGTTGTGGATGGAAAGGTATGACTGTGCTGTAAGAAATCAGCCTGGGAATTGCTTAGAAATGTCCTTTGAGAAGCTTGATTTTGTAAGCTGTCACCCAGAGGACAAGTGAGATTGACGCTAGAGTTAATCACAAACAAAGAGGAGCTAGACGTGTGAGTCACCAAGAGCGTTTCCAGAAATGGACCACGTCATTTTTGTGTGACTTTTTAGGAATATGGGGAGGTAGAGCAAACATTGGTTTAATCAGCAGCTGGGAATTCTCGGGTAGTAATAAAGAGACCCCAAAGTTCTGAAAGTGAAACTCATTCATTGCTTTGAGCTAAGATGTATGCATGACCCAGAGAGAGGCTACTCAGTTCCCCCCAGCGTCAGCTGGAGAGGTGCATTGACATCAGCCGTGTTTCTGTGAGCAAGTACGTCATGTATATGAGTCATTCATCTCTAATCCGTCACAGAGACTGTGTGCGCATGTGTACAAGTGACGTAGCCATCCCAGGATGTGACCACACAGCAGTTTCCAAAGTCAGTACCTCCTTTCATTAATCCAAGTGCCAGACAAGAGAGGCTGCAGTTGCTCGGGATGTAATGGGGTTCTTGGTCTGTGCTGCAGAAAAGCTGGAGGTATTTCTTGTCTGAAAGTCAAGGTTAGGAGAATGGGCAGGGAAGCAGCTGTTCAGTGTTGGACTCAATAATTGGGCTGCATTGCACGGGGGTGCTGTGGCTTTATGCTCGGTACCCCAGACTGAGGTCAGAGAAGCTGAATGGGTTCAGTGGAGAGTCTGCCTTCTCTTTGCTTCCACAGGAGTCTACGTTGTACCTCGATTACATAGTTTCCTCCCTGCGTAGCAGTGGGAAACTTCATTGAGAAACACCAGACCTAACCTATCACACTTAGTGGAATGTTTACCATGCTCGGTGTTTGTTACTTGACGGAAAGTACTTACTAGTGTATAAGTTATAACCCACTAATTATATTTCACAAGGCGTCCCGATCTGTGACTTCATTGAGGTTGCATTCTTGCTAAAGACAGTTTGATTACTTTTCTCCTAGTAATAGGGTTGACTGAAATACTAACCATTTCTGGGAATAAGAAGAACAAGCCAAGAGCCAGAGAGATTGGGATTTGGGAACTCAGAGGTCCCCAAGATAGTTCCCTGTATTTCTCTGGGCCTCCTGAGTTTTCATCACAGGGTGGAATGAATCTGGGTTAGTCCAAACTGAATGAGAACTCTATCCCAAACAGATCTTTAAAAAGAAAACATTAATTTTTAATTCTTAGGTTTTTCCAGCTTCTGCTGGTATCTTTGGCACAAAACATTGATAAAAGATGCATTATTTCTGTCCCTTGTCTTATTTATTAAATAACTTGGGTGATATCTGAGATTGGTGAACTGAAACCAAATCCTTCCTCCCACTGTTTGCTCTGGAATAAGAAAACTCTCCAGCTCTGGTTTCCACAAAAGATCCATTTCTCCAGTTGCAAGTGGCACAGCTCGGAGCTCACATTCCCTGAGAGATTTCCGTTACATTTATCAAAATGCAGTAAAGAGCCTTTTGTCCCTTTTCTTGCCTTCCACATATCGAATTATGAGACTCCGGAGTATTAATTGGTTTATGGCCCTGTGTGGGTAATAAATAAGACTGGGTTTGCTAACTGTGTGCATTATTTATTTCTTAATAATTTAGAAGAGGCATAATCAGTTGCAAGGGAGTATTAGAGTCAAACATGATGTTTTAACGTCTCTTCAGCCCCTTGGGAAGTACATTTCTGGGTGTTTTTGCTATTTACTGTACACATTAGTATCTACATATTTTGTTCAAATTTATTTCACATGAAAATCCTTTGAGTGGAAATGCTATCAGCTATAGGTAACTTGACAAGAAGGCCTTTTATGTAATCTACAGAATGTTTTTGAAGCATTCTAAGCAAGGCTGTTTGCTGGTGGGTAGTGAATTCAGGGCTCATATGAGGGTGACAAGATTTTCAGCTGACCATTAGGGTACAGAGAGCTTCTGGAGAGGAGAGACCTTTAGCCAGGAGCTAAGGAGACTGTAGTGAGGACCCTGTATTAAATATAACTTTCTGAGTAATTTCAAGTGACTGGGTATCTGAGCTGTTGGGTCCTCGTGAGTGTGGGCCATTATTTTATTGAACACTGTTTTCTCCATGGGATGATGGAGGTAGCATTGATGGAGTGTTGTTAGCATGCGTGAATTCCGCCTTCACGTGTGTAAATGGTGCGCTTCGTTTCTTTGCTTGTAGATGCAGCCCAACAGTTTTCCATGGCAGTCCCCTTTACCATGCAGCAACAGCCTCCCTGCGACCTGCACCACGGGCCAGAGCAAAGTGGCGGCCTGGCTGCAGGACTCAGAAGAAATGGACAGGTGTGCGGAAGGTTAGTTCCTGCCCTGGGGGGCCTCTCAGAGGAGCCCCCTAAACCCAAAGCTGGTGGAAATTAAAACATTGCAGCTCCCACCATCACCCGCCCTCAAGTGACCTGGCCTTTCCTTAGTTCTAGATCCTTCTCTGGTCTGTGACCCAGGCTTCCTTCCTGCCAATTCTCCCACCTCCTCACAAGTGGGTCTGTGCTTCTCTCCTGCCCTGGCTTCCTCTCTCTTCAACCTTTTTATCTCTTTGCTACTGCCTTCTCTCTGCCTTTACCCGTCCCCTGAGGCCTGAAGAACCTTCCATTCTTAGACCGGGACTCTGCGCTGTCCTCCTCTCTAGGTCCCTTCCATTGCCTCCTCCTCCGCCGTCACGTTCCCCATGGAATAGTTCTGTTCCCTGCTAGCACAGATGTGAGCCGTAGGCTCCAGGGTTGCGTGTCCAGAGTTACCTGTGAGTGGGGTTGCATTGGAGAGAGGCCTTGAGCCTTCTGACTAGCCCGTTCTGTCCATCTCAGGGCTGTTTAATCTTTTCCTTTCTCCTTCCTCAGCAGAACCCTTCGGCCCATGCCTTATCCACAAACCATTTCCATAGTGAAACAGTTTTCATCTAACCCACAAAGCTGACAAAAACAAGGGCCATGTACAGAGTATTTAGTAAGTCTCCACTGATTTAATTTTTAGATGCTTTTGAGATACTGTATTAATCTTGAGATACTGTATTAATTAATTTAAAATTATGATAAAAACAGATGTTATGTAACTTTTTGATATTTTCACTTAGGAAGAAAAAATGGACAATCTGTTAATCCTCCTGCACCCTCACCATTTTTTAAAAAAAAAAACTCCAAATTTGCATTTTTTTCAACTCTCTGAGCCACCAACCTCCCAAACTTAACCCACACAAGAAATTATAATTTAAAAGGTATTTTTCTATTCATAATCCTGTTCCTATGACATCTCATTAAAGTGTTTTCCTTGGATGAATTCACCACACACAGCTTCCGGTTGTGGAAGGAGGCAGACCACTTCCAGACAACCCTGGGGATTCCTGCAGTGTTTAGAGACCGCCCAGCTTCGCCTGTGTAAGGTCATCTACATGATGCTCCCCCCCCTTAGCCCCGCCCCTGTGACTACAGAAGAGCTCCCAGGGTTCACACTCAGACATTCTCACTGCAGAGCATGTATCCGAATGTGATGCCCTGCCAGCCCGCCCGGGTTACACACACACACACACACACACACACACACACACACACACACACACACACACACCCGTTCTCCCCCCCCCATCCCCCAGGGGCCGTATCAGCACCTGGACCCCATGTAGGTCAGGGATTGTTGAGTGAACCATCTCCCTCTTCACACAGCCAACTCAGCGTCTTGTCCTTATCCTTATCAACCTTTTGCTGCGATCCATCCCTATCTTCGTGACCCAGACCCGCCATTCTTCTTGTCCCTAGCGGTTATACAGCCTCCTGACTTCAGCACCCAGTCTCCAGCTCGGTTGTTTCATCCTTCTCAGAGGCTCATGGGAAATTATCACCTGTGAGCCGGTTTGCAGGCCCTGTGCCAATACTTAGCAGCCAAGATCCTGTTGTATTCAGCCATGGGACATAGCTACTGTTCACTTCCCGCACTTGGAGAATGAGGAGAGTGAAATTTGTAATGGTTCAGACATCTGCCCGAGAGAATAGAGCTGCCTTGGTGGGGAGGTTGGGATTGCAGCCAACCCACATTTGACTGATCCCAAAGTCAGTACTTTGTTCACGACATAAAGCCCCCTCAAGCCTGGCAGTCCTTAAAATAACTGTGCAGACACCCTCCCTCGGCTCTTCACTGGCTCCGGGGTGTTACTCCACAGTACTTATCTCAGCATTTAGCAGCCAGTGCATTCAGCATCGTGGCCCTGCCCACCCCCTCAACCTTCCTTCTTCTATAGACTCAACAGGTCCTTGTTGGGTTTTGGGTTTGTTGTTGTTGTTGTTGTTGTTTTTAACTTGAATGTATTTACATACTTCTTGCTGTGTGCCTTTGGCTAGATTGTTCTCCCAACTTCTTTGCTCTCCTCCACTTTTCTGTTTGGCTAAAACTTTTCTGTCAATCTTCTCGACCCTTTGGGGATGAGATGGGGTCTCTTGTAAATCTGCTCACAAACCATGAAACCAAGAACACTCTCCTTTCTCCCAATCTCTTGCTGCACTTAAAAAAAAATCTGTACTGAACATTTGTTGTAGGACAAGCTTACTCCTGAGATGGGTTTTTAGTTCAAAAGGAATATTTCATACTTATTTCACTGGTTAAATTTCAAAAGACATAACATTTTATGGGACCCATTATATGTCTGATTTATACCTCTAACAGTAAAGGTAATTTGCTCTTCTGGACTTGTATGAATCCAGGCCTCAAATATATGGGGAAATTGCTTGGCTCCTAGAACATATTTCTTCCATAGAGATGAAATTGAAATTAGTAAAAGTATACAATAGATTTTAAAGGAATCATTCCTTGCCACGTTATTAGTGAGCTGAAGAACAGATGTGTTTAGCTGATTTTTACTCTGTTCTGTTTTTCTGAACTTGACTTTGGTTCCACCCAAATTCCACGCAGCCACCTTGTGAACCATTTTAGAGGAACTAGTAGATAGGCCCCTAGGAATAAAACCACAAGACTGCTGAATTCTCCAGAGTGTCCATGAGACAAAAAGCTGTGAGGACAGGAAAGCGATCACACACAACTTGATAATGTCAAAAGTCATCTGCTTCAGAGCCACAGTTGGTAAGAATGGGCTTTGAAACCCTCCCACGACCAGTGGCTCCCATGGTTCTGACCCGGAGAGGAGTAATGCTTTGTGTTCCCTGTGAGCATCGCCATTATATAAATATAGATCTGCCCATCCATCTACCACATCGTATCCACCACAGTGTGGACTGAGTCCCCTTCAATATTGCTGCCACCATTTCTACCCAGTTCTAACATTTTTGTCTTTACTAGATCTTGCACACTGTCAGTCAAACCTTGTGGAACTTAGCAAGCTCCTGCAAAACCTGGAGATCCTTCAGAGGACTCAGTCAGCACCTAACTTCACTGACATGCAGGTAAACGTGACTGTCCCGGGAACGAGATCTAAGATTCTAACTTAAACCCTTTCGGGGCTGTTCTATGACAATGCAAGGTGACACTCAAAAGGAAGTGACTATAATCAGACAAACTGCGATATTATTTCTAATAATATCAATATATGGTTTATATTCTGGAGTTATTCTTTTCTTCCTTTCTTTAGTTAATGTGTATGTGTGTTTTACCTACATGTATATCTGTGCACCATATGTGTGCAGTGGCTGTGGAGTCCTGAAGAAAGCATCAGATCTCCTAGAACTGGAGGAATAATAAATGGTTGTGAGCTGCTGTGTGGGTGCTGGGATCCAAACCTATGAGAACAACTGCTGAGCCATGTCTCCAGCCCCTCTCTGGAGTTATTCCTAATACTTTCGAGGTTTGATGTCATTGTGTTAATTAAGAAGCATTTTATCAGTGTTTACATTTGAATATATTTTAGACTTGTAGATATGCATATTTGTGTCACTCTCCCATGTCGCTTCTGTTTTAACAATGATGGCTTTGAAGTTTAAGCTGTGGAACTTTCAGAAGTATGAACATCTTTTAATGTAGAAAAGATGCTCACAGTCTGTAATCTTGCCTTCATTTTTACACACTAGAAGTAGAACTTTCATAAGTAAGCCGTAGAGAAGTCTTTGGTTTTAATATAATGTCTTTCTTCCTTGGCTGGCTTGCTTTGGGGTTCTAACAATTCCTTACTAACTTTCTGGGCTCTTTGTATGTGTTATCATCTGTGTGAACTTAATAATCCTTTGTTGCTTTTAACTATTTGTGTAATGTAGGCTAACTGTGTAGATATTTCAAAGAAAGACAAGCGGGTCACAAGACGCTGGAGAACAAAAAGTGTCAGCAAAGATACAAAAATGCAACTTCAGGTACAGCTTTTTCTTCCCATTCCTTCGCGTTGTGCCCCCCCTTGAAAACACTGTCTCTGTATGCGTTCGGGGTCAGCCCCTAGGCTCCCTTGAGGGGGAAGGACCAGCTCGACCACTTTAAAACCTGTGCTTTGCAGACGGAGTTGTGTTACCTAAACATGGAATTACTGGGTTTAGTTAGTTGGACATAAGTCCCAAAACCTTGAAAGGTAAGGATAATCTAATTTGGCCACATGGTAGGATGTCCATCCTTAGCAACAGCCTTTAAACTCAAGCATTAAAACTCAGACAGAAAGCCACTTTAAAATCCAAACTGGAAAGCCGGTGGACTGTAATGTATGTTCCTTTACGTAGTCTCAGGGTTAGGAGGCTCTTTTAGGAGTGAACTTGTCCACAGTTTTATCAAGGCCTTGTAGGAGGTGCTGTAGGTTAAAAATCAACACAGTGGGTGCTAGCGTGACCACTGGGATTCTCTGGCTTCATAATTTATGCATTTCTGTTCAACTTTCTGCTCAAGTTATAGAATTAATTTAATGATTACTGAATTCTCATTCTAAATTCTGTCTCAACTCTAAAATTTTGTAATTACAAAGATAGATCATATCTGGCCTACAATGGCCACTCTCAAATTGAAACAAAAATCTCCATAGCTCATAATAAATTTACTAGAAATAAAAATTTTAATTGCAATGAATAGTTATAAATTGATAAATCAAATATGATCCTCTTATGTTACTGTATTTCAGTGATACAGAATATGGTAAATACCTTCAACCCCTTATGTCATAAATGATATTACTTTCAAATCTTACAAAAATCTCTGCTATTCTTACCTTAGCTGTCTAAGATGATTGCTAACCAGCAGTTAAAATTAGACTTCAGGTTTTTGTTTTTAATTATATCGATGACTTTAGATTCTAACACAAAGGTCAAAGTGCTCTTCTCTTTCTTGAATAATTAACAAATGTAATTCTCTAATTCAGACTGCTTTAATAACATTCTTTGCATTGTCACTCTGAATATGTCAATAACAAACTGCTGGTGTGTTTTCTAATCTGATGTAATTTATAATAAATTTTCACAAGCACTGAACATCAATATTTCTGTTTAGAATATCTGCATCCCATGAATATAATTCTGTATGTTCCTTTGAGCAATATACTTTAATGTGTTTCCCATTCTGTTCATAAAATTAGTGCTAAAGGGAAAATATGCCAAATGATTTCATACGAAACTTGAAAAATTGTCATTTGTTTTGAGCTTATGATTTGTCTTGTTTTTAAGTCTTTATATTCTCGTTCATGTCCAAGAGGGTAGAATCATTTTTTTGCAGCCAGAAGAAGCCTTTCTTTATATTAAAAAAACTAAAGAGTGCTAGCATCCAAAGAACATACCTGTTTATGAGGGCTACTGTTTCAATCTGTTTCTGTAATGCAAACCACTGAACAGATTCCCTTCACAGCCATTGTCTTGAGTGGACTGACTCTCAGTGAGTCTGAGCACCCTGCCCCTGGCTGGCTGTGGGGCCAGGACTCCCACCACAAGTCCATTTGATCCATTTTCCCCCCTCAAGGAAACAGAATATAGTCCTGGTTAATAAATGTGCTGAGAAGTCATAAGGATTGTTCGAATCATCAGAAGAAATGGGTACAAAAGCAGACAAATCTTTGACTGAATGAATTTTTCACTGATGCTGCCTTGCTTTGTTTGACCAAAGAGTGACTCAGATGGTCCTTATGATTCTTATGTAGATGAGGAAGCTGAGGTTACCTCATCCCTACAGTCACTTTGCCTTTTCAAGAGGAGCAGATGTAGTTTTCAGTAGAAAGATAGACTTTGAATGAGCTATTAATCCCTCCAGGGAGCGTTTAGTTCCACTTGGACTTAAAGTATGTATCTTTTGGCGGGGTTGCTGCAGAATTTGCCATCATCCCCCTTGAAGGTTTTCTGCTTGCCTAAGGCAACAGGTCTTCGAAGAGCTGTCAGGAGTCTCTCTGTGTAACTAGAACAGGACTGGCTCCTTCAACATGCACACCCATTGGGGATGAATCAGTTCCCCCAGCAGTGTCTGTAACCAGCAGGAACATCTTTACTCAGCAGTCTTTTGCCTACAGAAAGGCGTAGCATTTTTACCATGGTAGATTAAGGACTGCTGCTCCCACTTTCTCCTCACGCTAGCTGTTTTTCCCTTCCTATTCACAAAGCTTTTTGATTATGAGAATTCCATCTAACAATGCCAAATATTTTGTTTTGAGTTCATTATCCTCTTACTTTCCCAGATGACCACTATTGCAGCCAACACTATTGCAGATTCTTAGATCATGACAAACCCATTCTCTGTTGTTTGTAACGTAGGTCATTAGCCAGTGGTGAAGGGACCCAGGCTGTGTGGCAGTGGTAGCTGGGTGGCGGTCATTATTGGTGTTGATATTGTATCATTGAACTTTGCATCCATCATTCTATAGTGTTGTCACAGTGAAGGAATTATAAGAGAGATCATTTTTTAATTGACTCCAGGAAGTAGGAAATGAAGCATACTGGATATTTGATAATAGCGTCTTCTTTGTAGGGTAGGTGGCTCACCTTACTTGAAAATGGAAGTTAAATGCTAGCCCTGTTGCTCGTATTTGTGCTGGATGCAATTGAGTTGTTGCTCTCAGAAATCTGTTGTGTGACTCATGGAGTCAGCCTTTGTCTTGAAGGTTCTGTGGGGATTATATCTTAAGAGAAGAAGCATCCATGTCTCCCAAAACTTCTAATAAAAATCTCAATGTCACTATTTAGTCAAAAGTGCTATAGAAGAGAAGTACTGTGACCCTGTGTTAATAAGAGAATAAAATTAGATACTAGGTCCTAGATACTGGAGGAATCAGGTAGAGTAGGAAGAAGTACATAGTAACCAATCAAATTACCCATCATTCATGTGAAGATGACCTTGTGTGTCTCACATTCCAAAGTTATACTGACATGCGAAGATGAGTCCTTCCTTTTATTACATTAAATGTGGAGATTTTGTTAGAAAACCTTAGTAGAAAATAGATTATATGTGTATGACACACATAAATATGCAAAAGATTGGTGAAGTAAAATCTGAAAGTAATTTGGAAAATTTAAAAGAGAATTGGAGATGTGAGATTTCAAAACATTTGTCATTCCAAACAGATGAAAGTAGTCATGTTTTGTTGCTGTTGTTTTATGTGAATTGTTGGGTTAGTCTAAGAAACTTCTCTTTGGCCGACTGGAAGTAGAACTATTGTTCCCAATCTTGGAGAGTCAGGGTTTATAACAGTGAGGGAGCATGAGAAGGCATGCCATCACCTCTAGGCTTCTTCAGGTTTGTGTACAGGCGCACACTGCCAAGGGAAACCTTTCATAACTGGTGTTGTTAGGCATTGGCCATACACACTGAGGCACTCGAAGGCTCTCTAGCTCCCCTAAACCCCAATCTAGTAGGCCTGCCTCCTTGGGAAATTCTTCAAGTTGAAGATCCCAGCACTCTTGCTCACACTGAGTCCCTGCCAGTAGGCTTTTTGGTAGGGGGTTGAGTAAGGTTGAAGAATCCTGTTTCTCTTCCCCTTATTCTTTTCTCTGAATACATTTTTTTCCCTATTACATTTTATATAATTACTTTCCCCTGAGCTTGCCTGTTTTCTTTACTACCGTTTACTGGATGCCTTTTGATTTAATACAACATATCATCACCATTTTAAAAGTGGTGTGCACGTTCATTTTACCTTAGAATCACAGGCTCCTCGTGAGTGTGCTAATTCGTAGCTCTCTGTCTCCTTTGGGGGTAGGGATCATATTCAGGAAGTGAACTCACAATATTTGAGTGGTCTGCAGTGAGCATAAAGAACAGTCCTTGTGGCATAAATGTCCCTTTGACCTGTTTCAATGCTAAGACTTATTTTTTTTTTTAAAGAAAAGTCAATTACAGTTAAAACTTCCCTTTTCCTTTGTCTGATTATCTTTCATTCTCCCATAAACCCCCTCCTCTTCCTCCCTGCCCCGTGTTCTCATTCCCTTTTCTCCCGTTCACTGTCAGGAAGGGCCACCCGCGAAGGGCCAGTTCAGCACCACTCGGCGCCGGCAGAGGCTAGCGGCAGCAGTAGCTACAACAGTGAGTGGCTTTCAATCTCAAACGAGGAACTGGATGCAAGGGTGGCTTGCCTGTGACGTGCCACCAGGGCGCTGTGGGTCACCTGTGGCCTCCAGCTGACACCGCTTTCCAGTGTACTCTGGCTCTCCTTGCATGGCAGGAATTGGACGTGCGTGCTGGTGTTTGCAGAGGAGAGCTAGTTCATATTCCTGCCCTGCTCCTGTCACTGGAAGAAATGATCGAAACTCAAGCTCAGCTGAGTTTGAGACCCTGCATATGGGGCCCTGAGATGGGAGAATTTTCTTAAATTATGGTGTTTTATTTATTGATTTTTCCAGATGGATACAGAACCTTTGCTAACTGGGTTTTGGTTTTCTAAGAAATGCCATGTTACTACAGAAACAAGTTGTGGGTTTGTTTGTTTGTTTTTTTAACGTATGTAGTGTGACTTTTTGAGAAGGGTGTGAGAAGGAAGTGAGGGGGTAAGAAAATGTGGATTTTCCTGTCATTTCTACATGGCTACCCAAAGTACACCTAGCAGGGGAATTCACTTTCTAGAAAGAATATTGGCCTGGAAACTAGAAAATAAAGTATGGAAATGAAAAACCACACAAAGTTAGATGGTGTCTAATCCATATGTAGAAGGGTGTTTTTCCCCTCATGAGGCAAAAGAATGGACAGAAGGGCATAGGCAGATTAAGTAAAGAATCATGACTGTCCATAGAGAATATGAAGCACAACACCAACCACAGAATCATTTATTTGCTGGATAAAAGTGAGTCATAATATTAATTCATCCCAAGAGCTTGTTCACTTTTAAAAATAATAGATTCCTGAGTTCATAGTAAATCATGGATGCTCCTTTTTAATCTGTTAAATATTTTCTGAGTTAATAACAATCTTATTCTTGCTAAAATTAGGATATATTTCAAGGTTAGAATTGCTAGAAAAAAAAATACTAATGAGAGGTTTTAATCTCACTGTAGAGTAGCTCCTGGTGCAGGGGCTGTGGGTTTTCTGCTTGGTGGTCAGCTCAGGCGTGATATGTAAGTGCTTAGCTAGACTGCGGGGTAGAATTACTTTTGATTATTGAAACAACCAGTGACTTGGAATTAATTAGGGAACTGACGCCTACATTGATAGTTTTACAAATATTTGAACGAAGTCATTACTGAAATTGCACTCTGGTGCAGAGGGCATATTCAAATGCAAATGAATGAAGTCCCTGCCCCTGGTTCAATAACAGATTTTGACAGTAGATACATGTCTGACCCGTTCAAGGAGTAAAGTGGAGAAATCCAAATGATCTTTAGAGAACTAACAATATCATAGTCTGGAAAGCCAAGATCAGTTACCTTGTGAGAATGCTAAGGCTTCTTCCTCCAATGATATGCTTCCAGAATAGCACACAGGGAGGTGATTGTATTTTTCCTGGGTTCAAGTTTTAAGCTTGGGATGCATGCAGTGAAAATAATCAAGTTAGGATTAGCACTTATTTGCATAAAGTAAGTTGATGTTTTCTTCCGTTGGAAGCAGAAGAAAAGGCTTTTTCATACAGGAAGCATTAATGCCCATATCCCAGCACAGCTGTGACCATAGAAATTCTAAAAATAACTTAGATGATTCTAGTAAAAAAAGGTACAGTCAACCCTTAAAATAATCATGGAAATAACTAGGATTGGATGGTTACTGGCCCCTCTAGGATCTGTACTTTGGCTCTGTACCTAAGAGGCATTGAGCAGGATCCACCACTGACCCCTCACTGGCCTCCCCAACCCCAGTGGCCCTGACTCTACTTCCCTGTTCCTTTTAGTGCCCCTTCTCTTCCCCAACTGAAGTTACATTTGGACCTGCCCTATCTTCTGAGAGGCCTCTTGCCCAGAATCCTCTCACAGAACCCGTGTCAGTTTTATCTTATCTCCTTCCATTCAGGCTTCTGGAGTGAATGACTTTTATACCAAAGAAGTCTGCCTGAGGAGATGTTTCCAAAATGTAATCTTCTTGGGCCTTAACACTGGCCCCCAGAATAGTCAACTTTCTCCATTAGCCCAAAGCTCATAGAACGTCAAGCTGGGAACACAGGAACACTGGCCCCCAACTATGGGACAACACCAAGGCTCCCCAAGCTGCTAGTACCTCAAACATATCCTTGAAAGCAAACTGCAGGGTATGGACAGGGAATTTTTCACCTTGGCTCAGTAAGACCTCTAAGCTCAATATTGTTGGGCACACCGGTGTTCTTCCTTTCCTGGTGATCATTGCTACATTTGGGGCCAGCGGGCCTCCTGACAAATTCACTTCTCTTTTGACTTCATTTGTAGGTGAATTTTCAGGGCACCCCCTAACATCTCCATTCACACTGCAGTGACTGGTATCAGAATGTTCTAGAACCTTCCTCCCTGTCATAGGGCTTCTAGGAGGCCTTGAGGTTCTTTCCCGAGCAGGGAGAATGGCCCATATTCAGCACTGGGGATTCTCAGCTCTAAGCATGGGGAACAGTGGCAGCTCCTATCCCAGCCATCGCTGAAGACAAGGAACTGGCTACCACTTGAAATGTTTTCTATCCAAATGATACCAAAGTGTCAGTGAATAAAAACAAAGTGAGTCCCCAGGATGAGGAACTATTTACCAGTTAAATGCATATATCATGGTTTATATTCTCTACCTTGCAAATTCCTCAATTAAAATGACCCATTCAACACACTTTCTCTTAACAAGCAAACAAACAAACAAAAAAACTATTTAATTCATTTGGAAGTATATAAAAATTGTTCATATCATCCCAGGAAACTGTCTGATTACAATTAGTGTGAAATATTGGGAGTTTGTTCCCTGTGGGTCATATACAAAGACAGTTCTACTGTTTGAGGAGTCAGTTTAAACTTCCATTACGTCCAAATTATAAATTTGTAAATTGTGTGTTTCTTCTCAGCATCTGATTCCAGCAGTTAGTGGAGAATCCTTTAGCATGGACAGGGTGGGGCCTTCTTAGACTCCATGGGTTTTCATAGTGGCCCCCTCTGCCACACCTCCATAGGCTAACGTAGCCCCCTCCCCATCCACTCAGAAGAGACACTTATTCTGGCTAAATCCTTGAAGTATTGCGTGTCCCTGAGTGACACAAAACTCTTTCCCATGACCTGTGTCTCAACACCAAACACCCACATTTGTTTTTCTTAATGTTCCCTTGTCTACCTTTAACCATGTCCCACACAGATCCCATACTTCTCTTAGGTATTCCCAAAGACCCTCGGCCATGGTTATCACAGATGTACCTTAGACAAGAGTTCTGAAAATAAGGGAACACCTGCATTCCACTCTCTCAGATGACTCATTCCCTGCTTGTCTGTCTTCCGTTTTGAGCCTGACAAGATAGGCAGCTGTTGACAGCCCCCAGCACAGTGTCTCTGGCGTCCCCACTGAGGATAAGAGATAATGGCATTGGTCCCTCTGAATGCCTCAGAGACCATGTGTTAGCATGCTTAGCTTTGCTGATGTTAGGGGGGACGTTCCATGTTCTTCTTCCCTTTGATAGCTTCCCAGATAATTACTCACTGGCAGAGCTGAACTATATCAGCAGGGCACTCAGGCTAATAGTTGCCCATAAGCCAGATTTTTTCTCTCTCCGCCTTGTCTGTCTGAAAGAGCAAGGGAAAAGAGAGAGAAAAAAATCTTTTTTTTCCCTATCCTCTCTCACATACCAAATCCATGAAATTTAAACTATAAAAAAATTTTTTTAAGTTGTTTTATAACCACTCCTCCCCTCCCCAAGATATTGCCTCCTTCCTCCTATGGAAATATGGAAATTAGCCAGGAGAAAGAGTTACCATTTCAACTGTAGAAAATTCCGTTTTTGTAGGGTCTATAGTTTGTCTCCTCAGAGCAGCTGAATGAACACGTGTGCAGTAAGATTACAGGAAAAGTCACTGGTGGATTTGCTTCCATTTCCCAAGAACAATTGGCCAATAGCATTTGTGACCCTTTGGCTGACCCTTCTCAAAAGGACAAGAAAGTGCTTTGCCTTCACCCAGCACAAGCCTAGTTCAGATCCAGTCTGGGCAGGGAAGTTCCTGTAGCCACTGGGAATGGTCTACACCGATGCAGCCTTTTTTCTCTCTAGAGCTTCGCACGGGTGGCCGATGCATAGACCACATTCATCTACACAACAGTGTCTTATGACACACACAAAGGCAGATGGCAGTCACTCACGTAATGTTTCATCTGTGAATATAATAATTCTAATAAGTATATTTATGCCTGAGCCTCCTTAAGTCATTAGTGTATGTACTATAAACTTGTTTTTTTCTGGTACCTGTAGACCAAATGAGTCTTTAAGTATATTTGTACATATTTATTAAGATCCTGCCTAGGCTCGAAGACAGGTGAACATAAATTGCCCTCTGTGTGAGAACAGGTCCACACATTAAGGTTCAGGTTGCTTTTTTTCTGCCGGTTATTTTTGGGGACAAGTGAAGAAGGTTCAGAGGTGTGCGTTTTCACACCATAGTCATTGTTCTTTGTAAGAATGAAAACCCAGTGCGTCCTAGGATTCTTGAACTATCAGAAACAAGGCTGCTTCCTCCTTCCCAGACTACACTGCTTACAGAATCAGTGAGGACTGGGGCTCCGAGCATGTCAAAAGAAAGGAGTAGAACCTTGTATAGGATAGGGAGGGCCTTGTCTGCGCAGGAGATGGGAGGAGAGGACACGGCGACACTTGGATAATGGACACCTTTCCCTTCCAGGTCCCTTTCAGCGCCACCATGTCGCCGGTGCGTCTGCATTCCTCCAACCCCAACCTTTGTGCAGATATTGAGTTCCAGACCCCTCCTAGCCACCTCACCGACCCTCTGGAGAGTTCCACGGATTATACAAAGCTACAAGAAGAGTTTTGTCTGATTGCGCAGAAAGGTAACACAGCAAGAGGTCTTCTTTGCCGTGGCGAATTTGATGAAAGATCAGTGTTTTCTCGGCATCCAGGTTGACTCTCTGGTCACTGCGCTGCTCTCTGAGTTTCACGGGTCAGATATTTACAGCACAACCAGATGCCACCTTAATTTCTGGAACAATCATTTTTAATCATTTTCTCTATGGATATGTCCACAGATACCGTCTTCTAATGCCTCATAAATGCATTTTTAATTGCTTTCTTAAACTGGATGCTGATATCATGATCAGAGCCAATGGTATTCCGGAAGTGCAGCTCAGATTCAGTATCTTTGCTTCTGGGGTGGGGTGGCTGTTGCAGTTGGAGAGAGATAACACCTAGCTAAATACAGCACACACAGGGAGAGGGTGAACTCAATGGCAGCCCAGAGAGAGCTTTGTTTGCTTACAGTCCTGAAGCTTCCAAGGAACTCAAGTTTCCACAGTGTTTGAAAGCCTCTGTTAAAACCACAGGGTTTTTCAGCAGACAGACAGATTCTGCATGCAAGGGCGACAAAATCAGATCCATGCCTTCACTGGACTCTTTGGAAAGGCATCGGGAGGCGCTTGTAAAATCAACAGGGATTAATTTCAGCTTTCAAGGTGATGGTGGAACGTTACACATGAAATAATAGATTGTGAGGCAGGAGTTTGAACTCAGTAGTAGGACACCTACCTTCCGTGCTCAGGCTCTGGATTCCATCTCAGCACTGCAAATAAAAACAATTGCCAGTCTTGTCTCCAAAACAGATTGTGAATTCTTTAGATCCCTGACACCTCTACACTTCATTCCATCCACCCACCCCCTCCCTTAATTCAGGCCACTCTTTTGTACTAGACTTAATACCTCTAAAAATAACCTTTTATCAAATAAACAAATCTGTATTTGAAGACTTCGCATGCTTTTCAAACGCTGTTAATATAAAAATAAGAATTCTAAGTTCAAACTTTTGTGGTTCAAACCACAGACTGCCTCAGATTTTCCCAATATGACGTGTCAGGTGTGTAGGAAAGGAGAGGAGGAGGGTTGTTTTCATTGTTGCTTTTAAGTCAAAGCACCTGTGATGCCGAGACACTTGGTGCCGAGAAAGCAATACCAGCGCTGTTTTCAAATCCAGATCATCTCCCACTCCAAAGAAACTAGTCAGAACTTCTGGATCCACTTCCGATTTTATGTTGACAGGACTCGTAAAGTGTTCTTTTTTGGAGGTGTACACTCTGTGAAAATAACTCTGCTGCAATAACTCTGGAGTTGCATGACACTTTCACAGAATGGCTATAAATATTACCATCAAACATGACAAACAAAACATGCTTTCTTTTCCTTCTTGAGATGTAAGTTAATTTCTAAGTATTGATGTTTAGAATTGATGTTGATATTTTGTATGTTGCTTCCAAATCTGTGTTGGCTCATCTGGTATGAAATATGAAAATTTCCATTTTAGTTCATTACCAGTGCCATATTTGTTTTGAGTATGGATACTCAGATAGATTTTATTTAAGGCTAGTTTTTATTTTTTTCCCTAAAGGCTGAGTTTTTAGTCAGAGTATAACCTAGTCTCTCTGGAAAATGTCTAGATAGGAGCTAGTGTCCAGAGAAGTTGACGTCCTGTGTGTTCATCCTCCTACAGTCAGTGTTTGTCTCTCGCTCCTCTCTCTCCCCAGTGCATTCCCTTCTGAAGTCTGCATTTAACAGCATAGCCATTGAGAAGGAGAAACTGAAGCAGATGGTTTCTGAGCAAGACCACAGCAAAGGCCAGAGCACCCAGATGGCCAGGCTCCGGCAATCGCTGTCACAGGTAAACCCAAGAGTTGTCTAATGCATGACGAACAGAAGGAGCTAGGCAAAGGATGAGGGAAGGGGGTCAGCATCACCAGGGATGGCATGTCCCTCTGATGTTCTCCCAAGACACTGCAGAGTCAGTGTTGAATTTTGTTAGTTTTCCTCTCTAAAAATGTCAAGGTAAGGGTGAAAATGAGCAATAATTGTTGAGTACATATAAATTGTTATTTTTAACTATTTGAGTTAATGTCTGGGGTCATTTGTCAGATAATTCCTGATTTTTAAAAAACAAAATAAAACAGGCATTTATACAGGGCTTACATGTTGAAGGAATATTCCAGAGTATATTCAATGCAATGGTAAATAGAACAAAATCTCCTGGATCTTCCATGCTTTATATATTTTCCAATTATATTTTAATCTGTTGAAAGTTACTAATGACTGTGAATAGGTAATAAATAGGTAAATGGGTAATGATTAATAGTAAATAGGTAACTACTAATTATTTCTTTTCTGGTTTGCACTCAGGGTTTTCTTCTGTCTGTTATGCTCCTGAACTAGACTTCTATATCTTCGAATATGTTATCTTTTATTTTACTAATAGTGATCACACCCCTGTATACCTCAGAGTTGAGGTTTCTGTTATAAATTCTTAAAAGCCACACATTACTTCCTCTGTAATGAACATTTTCTTTGGCCAGTCCTTAATTGCCCTCAGCTTGATTCCTTTGAGCATGCAATGCTGTTATGTGATTTTTGTGTGAGAACTCAGTGTTTATATAAATATTGTTCACTTCCTGGTGCCTTGGATCAGAGTGAAGGAGCCAGCAAATCCTGGGTAAGTGGCTCTCCTTGTGGATCCAACCCTGCTTGAATATCTCCCATAGTCCCTCAGAATGAAATGTGAACTCTCACCTCTGTGGGTTTTGTACCTGATCTGTCAGCGTTTTCAGTGTTCAGTCTCCTGTAATAAAGTGCCAATAGCTAGGCTACACGTTCTCCGCCACCACGAAACACTATCAGCTGAGGTGTATATGCTGCGTCCAGTGCCAATCCAGGGCCTCGGGAGCATGTGCATCACCACAGCAGCTGTCTGGCAGCCTGCAGAGGCCTTCACTCATAACCTAGCAAAGGTTCTGACATCTGCTCATGCCACTGAATCCATTCTGTGCTCTGTTAATATTAGTTGATCTTCCGATTCATTATGGTGACTGTACCATGAAGCAGAAAGATCAAAATAGTAGTCAAACAAACATGTCGATATCATCTCGAAGACACATAAAATACATACTGAATCCCAAAGTGATGCGGTGTTTTTAGTTTGTTTGATGATGTTAGCTTTGCGACATAAATTGAACATATACTGAGAAAAATAAGTAAATGTGTTTCCTGCTTGCTGCTGGCTTGCTCTTGTTTACCTCTCATTAAGACAAAGAATTGGCTTGAGGTCTGGGGATATGAGTAGGCTGATAGAATGCTTGCCTAGCATGCACAAAACGCCCAGGTTCAGCCCCCAGCACCACAGAAAACTAGCAGGGCATATGCTTTATAATGCCAACACTCAGGACATGGAAGCAAGAAGATCTGATGCTGAAGGTCTTCCTTGGCTCCATTAGTGATTGTGAGGTCGGCCTGGGATTCATGAAACCCTGTCTCAGAAATGGATGGAGATCCAGGATTTGGCTTTGACGGAATCTAGAAATGACTAGGAAGAGGGATCGCAGTGGGAGAAAGTTCATTTGTGTATGTATTTGACTGACTAGATAGTGTGCAAGATACGGAATATCCACAGACCTGGTTTCCAAGAAGCTCATGATCTTGTTGGTAAGTGAATACTGTCCACCCAGGAAAGAGTTAAAGGGACCACACTGTACCAGGCACAGCAGTGCTTGGTGGGACAGATGTCTAGGGTTCTGGTTGTTGAGAAGCAAGAGATCACTGAGGCAAAAGCGCAGCCATTGATCTGACATCTTCGAGACAGGTCTGAGGGGATGAAGAAGGACCCAGCGCTAGTGATGGTGTAAAATCAGCCACACACCCTTTGAGTTCAAATACCTCCCTCTCTTGAGAGATGCTTATTTGCATCTTGATTTAGGGATTTGGCAGATTTTTCTTGGGTTGTTTGGTTTAGGGTTTTTATACTTCAATTTTTCTCCTAACCAAAGGACTCGGAAGATGTGAAAAGAATTTGGGACTATCAAGACCATTTCACATTAGCCACTTGTGTGCCATACCTTTGGTTGTGCCAACATTACCGTGCCCATCTGGACACTCCAGTTGCTTCCACAGAGAACATCAATGTTTTAAGGGCAGGGGGTCTTAGTTTTGGTTACTATGGTTGTGGTGAAACACCATGACCAAAAGCAACTTGGTGAGGGAAGGGTTGGTTTGTCTTACATAATCTGAATTACACAGTCCATCAAGGGAAGCCAGGGCAGGAACTCAACCTGGCCAAGAACCCCAAGGCAGGAGCTGATGCAGAGGCGATGGAGGAGTGCGGCTTGCTGGCTTGTTCCTCATGTTTTTTTTTTTTTTTTAAATAGACCCAAGACCACCAGTCCAGGGATATACCCACCCACTACTGATGGGCCCTTCTCCATCAATCACTAATTAAGAAAACGCCCTACCGGCTTGCCTACAGTCGATCTCATGGAGGCATTTTCCCGATTGAGGTGTCCTCCTCTCAGATGACTTTTGCTTGTGTGCAGTTGACGTAAAACTAGCCAGGACCAGATTAGAGAGACCATCTAATGGAGATCCAGGTCAAGCTGCCAGAGAAATTGCAAGTGATGGCCACTGAAGTCAAGGGTAGATCATTCCTTGGCCCTTTTGGCTAAGGTCAAGTGGAGACCACACCGGTAGAACTTTGAGAGTCTTAACAAGGAAAATATTTTTAAAAAACATCCTATTTAGTGGCAAATAGCATGCGAACAGAATGAAGTTCTTGAATAATGCTAGTCATATCAGCACGCATTTGTTATCGGGAGCCAAAAGAGGACAAGATCCTGAAAGTAGGAAACATCAGTCAGGGCAGCATGGCCAGCACTTTTTGCACAGTCCCACCTTGAATATAGTACTCAAGACTGTACAAGTACCAAATAATTGGAGTGCGTTGAGATAGTTTGTCTCCACACCCTGTGTATATTTTATACATATTAGCCTAACTTCATGTTAGAGTGAGCTTTCAGGTAACCCAAAGACACCTCTGGTCCATATACACTGTGAGCAGTTGAACCCCTGAATGTCTTCCTCATGGTCTCCCTGCAGAGAGGGAGGAAGGAGAGAGATGGCAGTTAATTTACATAGACTGACATTGTTAAAGCTCATATTTTGTGTGACCTAAGTCCTAGCTGATAGCTATCTAGCGATTCAAATGGTGCCTTTTCAGGAAAGCTTTTCAGTATGTATCATATCAACTCAACCAGGTCCAGCATCCTTTTAGCAGGAACGTAGCATGTGAGGTAGATGAGATCAGCATTTTCCACTTCAAGCCTGGTATAAATTGCTACCTGCCTTGAGCAAGTAGGCACAAGGCTGGAGAGCCCCATAAATTCCTCTTCCCTAATCTATATAGATACAAGCGCAACGTAACTGTAATTTTACCCCTCTTAAAACATACCTTTCACCCCCATGACAAGCCTAGATGTTGGACATACATGATGGAACAGGATATTTCCTGTGGCATCTGTGCCTCATAGGTGACCTTATTTAGCTTCAGCCTTCTTTTCCTGAACACTAACATCAAGTGGCGTAGTATAAAGCTAAGACAGCCTTGGCAATCCCAATTAACAAAACAGTAACGTATTGGGGTGTCCGTGGGTTTTTTTCTGCAGCATAGTATGCTGCATGGCTGTGGCTGGTTTGGTTTCTCACCCCAGAATTTGTGCACAGCTTGTGCTCATATAGTGTAAACTGAGTCCATATAAATGTGAGCACCAGCATCTGACCCATCTACTCCAGCTGGAATTATTACTGTATTTCACTAAATCAACATGCCACAGTCATTAAGGATGTCATTATTTTGTGCATTGCTGAGAGAGAGGGAAAAAACAAAACATTGCCGTCAATTGAACTGACAGAGTGCTTCAGAGGTGCAGTGCGGTGGGGGAAATGTGCATTGAGAATTATTGAAATATGTTAAGACTGAGACTGTAAGCAAAAGGTTGGCTCAAAGCACATAATGGCATAATTTAACACCCCAGCTGTAGCATCCATCACCCTCGCTGTCCACAAGATTGCACATACCACAAATAGATACTCTGGAACGGGAGAAAAATTCCAAGTCAGTTTATTTCTGAACTCTACAATTCTCTGGGACTCCAGGAAATCTAAGAGTATGAAGATTTTTTTCATTCAGCCCTTTATAATTTTTTTAATATCAAGTTTCAGTGATACTGTCTCTGTAGGTCTATGCTGATATCACAACGTATTTATTGTAGTAAATCTTTGTGACTACCTTAGTGTCCAGTGATAGGAACCCATTGCCTACTGCGCAGCTGTCTAAATCATCTTTATAAAAGAGTTAGAAACATGTGTTTGTGACCAGAGAATAAAGTGCAGATCAGAAGTAAAAAACGTGCACCTGGGAAACAATATAAAAAGTGCAGAGGAGGCCAAAGCGAGGAACAGTGACACTCTGCTAACACCAGTTGGGTAGTATGGTCGGAATTCAAAAAAATATTTTAGACTTTTCTTCATTTTCTAAATATAACAGTAATTTTTCATTGGAAAACAAAACAAAACAAAACAAAACAACAACAACAAAAAAAACAAGGATAGTTGCCCAGAATTTGTGTTTTGGCTGTGTAATGGTATTTGCTCCGCCCATGACCTTGGTCTATATGGCCTGAAGGAGGCGGTGCTTCTTGCCATCATAGTGAACTCTTGAAAGGAAGAAGGGCCTATGCCACAAAGCCACACAGCATTACCTGCTCTCTTGTATCTTCTCCTGGCAGTGGCTTGAAGCATCTGCCTGATTCCGCCCTTCTTCATCTCCATCTTCACTTGGAATGTATGGCCTAACCTTATTCTGCCTCGCCATTGGCCAAACAGCTTTATTTATCAACCAATGAGAGCAATGCATGTTCACAGCACAGGGAAAACCTCCCACAGCATGGCTGTGTTTTCTTAATTTTCTCACTTCTTTTGAACCAGCTTTACTCTTACTGAGTGTTACTAATTCTTCTCCGGCTCAGGAAGTCATGTTTCCTTCCCAGAACCCACAATTCCACTTAGTAAAATGATCTTGCCAATGTCTCTCTGAGTCTAAGTTAAATTCCCATCTATTGCCTGAAGAAGTTGGGACGTAAGGGTTGGTTATGGTTCAGAACTTCAAATGGTAACTCTCTGGATTGAGCAGGAAGGAATTTTTTTTGAAGTGTTAGACATTGGTATGTTTGAGGACAGGAGGCAGCGGGCTGAGTATGCTCTGTGGGGTCTTCTTCACAGTCTAGGCTCACTAGTAAATGCAGATGCTCCCTGTATGGGTGCTCATTGAAGACTGTAGGCACCACACACCACTTCACAGTGCTTCTCCCTGTTAGCCTTGGCCCTGTGTACAAAGCCAATCGATTCTCTCCCAGGCAGGCCTCAGTAGTTTCTCTTGCTCAGCGGCTGGCACCAATGGCTGGAATCTGCCTCCCTTTTCCTTGGTTTGTCCCTGTTTACTCTCCCTGAGCACATGCCCTACACTATTTTTACCATCTTCTGTGCTCTTTGGTATTATTATCACTCCAATTGCCATTGCTCTTTCAATGCCTGTATTCTTCAGCATTTTCAATTCCAATGACACCGTTAGCAAATGTGGTGCTGGACCCTGCCGGGGAACGCTATGCCCAGCCCTCAGTCATTTGGCTGCAGCAAATTTCACAAGCAGACTGACGATCAAGGCAAAAGGAGGAGCCAGCCTGGGGAAGGTTGCTAAGATGGGCTGACGCATGCATGGTTGCGGCTTGAGTTTGCCAGAGTTGCAGTGACTTATTTCTGCTCTGTGTCATATGACAAGCCTTGTATCTACCACTGCTTATATATTATCAAGGAAGTTATTTCTTTCCAATATTTGCTCTGAATTCCATGTAGGTGTTGCCTGTTTGAAATCAAAGTAGGATTTAGTCTTTAGGTTTTTTTAGGTTTGCTACAACTTTGAATTTTGGACTAGTGAAAATGCATTGTGCTGCACATCTAAGTAGAATCCAAGCCTTTTTCTTTTGTACAATGTCAACATATTGGCAGGGAAACCTGTAAGTATTAATATCAGTAGGAAAGGAACTAAAAGAGATGCTTTTTGTTTTAAATATGATAACCTTTTCTTTTTTTCTGGTAATTATAAAATGGGAAAAATTCTGGGAGTGACAAGATGCAGTTTCCCAGATTTGAAGACCAAGTGTCTAAGATACATAAGCTGTTGTCAGCCCCCCAACAGCTTATGTATCTTAGACTTACAGGTTTCCCTGGGTGTCCTTCCATGTGTCTGTAGGCAGGATCATATTTAATGCAAACTAGCTAAGAAGAGAGTTTAAGTGAGCTCTTAATATTTTTAAATCCCCAGAGGAAGCGGTTTACAGTATTCCTTGTAAATGGGAAAAAGTGTTTCATGTTCCCTCCCCAAGGAAGAGCTTTACTCGGGCTTGTGGTTAATTCATGAACACTGTTCCAGTGTCAGCAGAAGGTGTGGTCATTTTAAAAAGAATGGATGGTCGAGATTGATGGGAAAACCTCAGGTCGACACTGATTCTGCCCATCAGCTCATCACATTCCTTGCCAAAGTCCTCCCATTTACAAAGTGTGGCAAAGTAGATCTGGCCCGAATGTTTCAACAACTGTTCACACTTATGTGTGCACAGGAAATAACTGAATGAACAAGTGAGCTCCATACAAAGGATGAGACAAAGCAGACATTTGTTTTTTTTTTTCAAATTCTTAAGTGATATTTTACCCCTATTAAAAATGATTTGAGCACTTTTACCAGATGACAAGGTACTAGAATTCTTCCTCCAAGGCACTTGGTTTATTTACACACATCTCTTTTCTAACACCTTCATGGTTTCATCGTTTCTTAGGTAGACGGACATTTTTCCCTATCCTCACATGTAATGCTGTTAGATCAGTATCTACCTTGAATCTACCCATACTTCTCACACCAGACCCAGTGTGTTGCTTAACATATCATACAAACTAGTTCTAAAGGCTTTAAAACAAAAACTGTAAGTAATTCTGTCCTCAAAACACAAAACCGGAGTTAAAGGTCGGAACTAGGCAGGGGAAAGGAGAGGAGAGGTAAGAAGTCTTTGCTCTATGCTCCAGGTGTACTTCTTGCCTAGTATAGGTGTCGGGTTTTAATCCTTAACGTTTACTGAGTATTTGAATGGGTACAGTTACAGTTATCGAATTCTGCTCACACACATATTGGTTTACCATATCTATTGACTCTAAATGAAGCAGAATGCACATTCTGCAGGGTAGATGCTCTTTAGTAAGCCCTGGCATATATTGTTTACTGTAAAACATCCATCTCCATTTCAGAATTCCCATTTTTAACAGAAGGAAGGTATCGCCCATCTTTACACAGACCTTGTCCTCGCATAGGCATTTTACCTGAAAATCCCCATGAGCTGAATCCTGACACAGAAATGATCATATTTGCACACATCGCCTTGAAGTGTGGAAGGCTCCCCATGCTTTGTGCACAGGGGCCCTGGGAGGGGCACACTTATGTGAAGCTGTTCTGTCCTTGCATTAGATGCAGTTGCTGCATGTGCTAGAGTGTGTCAATGGTGTTTCACCAATGTTTACTTCTGGCGTGTTCAAAGCACTGTGACGTACTGACACTCGGAGTTGGTTTGCTGTTGGACTCATGCTCTTACTATGGTTGTCCATGTCCACACTTTTCAGCAGAAGCACCTTTTGTGTGTGCCACTGTATTACCAAGAGGACTAGTTATGAGCTCCTGAAAAAATAAAAATATCCATTTCCTTTGATCAGACTGAAAATAATTCTGTATGCTAAAGTCAGTTCATTAATTATTCCAAGTATTTTTGAAATGATGGCCTGTCTTTGAAACGAATCCTCAACTTTAGAGAGTAGAACAAAGAAAACTATGAGAGAATCAATATCTTCCATTCCAGACTGCACAAGGTAATATATATGTGGTGGTAGACTGGTCTTGGATGTAATGGGTCTGCCTCTGAGGAGGAGAAATCCATGAATCATTTTTATGAAGCCCATTAAATATTTCAGTTCACTAACCTACTTAAGTAGTGGTCTTACATTACCAAAAGTTAATGTCATAACTCTCAGCCATTTATTTCCCTCTTAACTGATACGGTCCAGCGCATGGTAAAGTCTGAGCTAAGAGCATCTCAGAATTTTGTTGTCTCAAGTTGTCCCTTGTATTTGCTTATAACACTCGCTTATTACTTTGCCATTACAATTGCAGTTTTTGTTACTTTAAGGCACTCAACCAGAATGCTGAGCTCAGGAGTCGGCTGAACAGAATACACTCAGAGTCTATCATTTGTGATCAGGTTGTCAGTGTAAATATTATCCCTAGCCCTGACGAGGTAAGGCTCATTATGAATGGATATAGAACACCTGTTTTATGACATCTAAATTACTGCATAGTTTTGCTTATTTTAAACAGTTGTTTTCTGTTAGTGACATCCTCTCCATAACTGTTTGTGTTGCAGACAGCTCAGTAGTCTTTGAAGTCAAAGATGTATATGAACTTGACATCATGTGTTCTGGTGACTGCTGTCTCTTTTTATTTATTTCAATATCCACCTGATGTCACCGAATATTTAATTTATATATCTAGTCCAGCTTATTTATTTTTTCTGCATCTGTTTTATTCTTTTTTTTTTTTAACATGTTCATTATCACCAAATGTCTAATGAAATGCTGAAAAAGTTTTAGCTGGCAAATTGTTTAAGAATTGCTTAAAGGTTTCTTTGGAAGAAGTTATCTAGGGAGGGAAGCTACCTCTTCCTGCTAAAACAAGCTAATGGTGCTGCTCGTGAGCACCCTTCATGATGGCTCAGGCAGTCAACAGCCAGCAGGGACTGGAAGTGGGGTAGGGTGCTTGCCCCGCATGCGGAGGCCTGGGTACAGGTGACAGGTGTGAAGTGAAAACTCACCGTGTGCTGCGGCCGGTTCTAACCAGTCACACTGTGCTTCGTGTGTCATTATCAACAACCTCTATAGTACACGCTCTTATTCTATTTTTATATTGAAGAAATGGCATGAAAATAGAAAAACATCCAGAATGTGGGCTAAAATGTGTATAAGCTTTTGTAAAATTATGTTTTATTAATCGTTAGAAATTAAAGCTTTGTGCATGGCAATAATGCATCTAACAAAGTGAGAGTTTAAACTAAGACTAAGGTCATATTTGCATGAAAGCCGTATGTTTTACCATAAATTTTAGTGTAAATCAGACTCAAGCATTCTGCTGGAAAGATCCCAAGGCATCCTACCTTTGACTTAAGTTGTCTGTCCACTGTTTCTGTTCATCTTTAGAATCCCACTGAACTCTAATCACATTTGTATCCACTCAGTTGCTCAAGAGCTAGGACTATTTCTAAGACTGGTTAATGAAAAATATTTAGATCCAGCAAGGTGACTCAGTGAGTCAAGGCACTTGCCACCAAGTCTGATGGCCTGAGCTTAGTCCCTGGGGAACCACACAGTGGGAGAGAGAGCAGAGTGCTGTGAGTTGTCCTCTGAACCACCCCCTCATACACGTGTATGTGTGCGCCCCATATGGACACCCAATACATACACATGATTTTAAAATGACTGAATAATCCTTAGTTGAACTCTTCAACCTGAAAAGTGGATTAAAATATATATTATAGTCTTAAAATTCATTCTAAATAAATTTATCTTCCTTGAATGCAGTTGTTTGTACCTTAGCACACATAAACAGTATTTTTCTTGAAACAAGATTCAGTAGTCTAGACATGTTTGATTGGTTTAAAATTCATGATTTAATTGGAAATCAAATTATATAGCTCCTATTTCAGAAATTAGTCTTATAGATCACCAGCCTCGCTGTCTCAAGACGTTTCTGTAAATACTTCCTGAGGTTTAATTTACGGCTTAAAGCAATAGCTCTCAACCTGTGGGTCGTGAGCCATTTGGGGGCTGCATATCAGATAGTTACATTACAATCATAACAGTAGCAACATCACAGTTATGAAGTAGCAGTGAAAATAATGTTATGGTTGGGAGTCACCACAACATGAGGAACTGTATTGAAGGGTCGCAGCATTCAGAAGGCTGAAAACCACTGGCTTAGACTACGACTAGGAATGCCAGGCCTAAGACCACAGTCAGTTCATGTTTTTAATAGGGGTTTCACCTGTTGAATTCCATTTGCTACCAATGGGGCATATTGTAACATCATGGCCTTTCAATTCTGCGCTTGGGACTCTCTAGGCACAGTAGATGGAATCATGTGTGGTAGCAAGTGAAACTTGGTCACTCATGTTAACAGACAGTTTGGAATTCTCTAGAAAATCTAATTTGGAGGAATAGCAGTGCTACTAGGAAGGAAAACATGATTCTGTCCTACGTGTCTTTCTCCCGCAGGCTGGCGAGCAAATCCATGTCAACCTCCCTCTGTCCCAGCAGGTGGCCAATGAGAGCCGCCTCTCCATGTCAGAATCTGTGTCAGAGTTCTTCGACGCCCAAGAGGTGCTCCTGTCTGCAAGTTCCTCAGAGAATGAGGTAAAATTCCCGGTGTGTCTGTCCATTTCGTTTGCTTGGGACTGTGAGTTTGGGTAAAGACCGTCAGACTCTGGGACGTCAGGCTGCTGGATGTGTTTGTTTACGTCACAGAAAGATGCTCACCTTTATAGCAGAGCCAAGGTGTGTAAGCCACCGTGATGCTTCCCATTTCCTGAGCACTTCACAGTGCTTCCAGGCTGCAATTCAGGGGCACTTAACTTGGATGGATAAAGGGAAATAATCAAACACATATATATGTGGCAAAGTAACCAAACCATTGGTAACAGAGTTCATTGCAGGGAGTATTTGGTGATTCAGAAAGGGTGAGAGAATTAGAAAACCATCTCTGCTGGGCAACTTAATATGTCTACAAGGAAATCTGATCTGTCCCAATCCCCAGTATGCTTAGGACCACAATTTAGCTGTCACACAAAAATGTTAATAATCTGGTCTCTGTACTCAGGTGCAGCCTCATGTTCCTTTTTGTTCTAGATCCTTCCAACAGCCAAAGGAGTGATTCCTGAAGTTATCAATTTGCTAAAGACATCGTATTGTCCCTCGTAACAAAGAGAAGTAGTCTTTTGTACTACCCACACTGGAAAGAACTGGACTGCATATTATCCTTGTGCCCTGTGTTTTAGAGGCTTCCAGAAATAGTGGCTTTTATTCATATCTCCTTCCTGTACCACAATAATGAGGTGGGAGCCAGGAAATAAACTCAAATAATAGTTTTCAGGGTTATCCCTCCCCTTTAGTTAAGGTGTGGCTCCTAGGTCAATCTAATCTGTTCCAGTCTCTTGAGTTTCCTCCTGATGAGAACCCCCTAGAAGGCTCCTCAGGCCTTTACACTGACAGTCTTGGCAAGCCCACCTTGTGAGCCAAGCATGGGTGTGTGAATTCCAGTAACAGCTGCAGGGTCCACGCAGGTTGTGTATCCTGTACCTCATCTACCAGTGGAGCCGGGTCCTCTGCACTGGCCACCCGTGCTGGCTGGAGCATTTCTCTCAGAGAAATGTATGTTATCCCCCCCCACATTCAGTCCTCTGGTGTGCCTTGTTTACATCTCCCTCCCGGCTATCACCCTCCAACACAATGTTTCATCCATTTCATTTTTTATGTGTTTGCACCTCTAGAATACAGGTTCCACAAAGGTCTCTAGAACAGTCTAGTGAATTCAGAACTGGCACTCAATAAGTATTTACTAATGCAATAAAGGAAAGAGTTCTTTTAGGCCATTCATCCACTAATTCTTCTGAGAAGTGCCCACATTAAAATTTCCCTGACTAGGGATGCGGTATCTACCACCAGTGCATTTACTTAATGAGTCCTCAGCTCCTTTTAAGAAAATTGTCTACTAAAAGCTACATCCTTGGGTTTTAAAGATGGCCTACTTCTTTCCAGAATGCTCTACCAGCCTAGTGTCTGCTTTAGAATTTGTGTCTGCAGGGACACACCTAGTTACATTTGGAAAATAGTTCCTGAACTGTTTTTGAACCCTGAAGTTCAACACAGAAATATTTGGCTCCAGCACTTTGAGTTCCCGGGGAGGAAGACAGCCCTCAGTAGTACCGCAGGGGCTCGGCCTATGCATAGGACCGTGTGAGAGGACCACAGCAAATAGCCCAGCCCCAGTTACTGCACCAACTTATGACATGCCCATCTCTGACCCGGGTCCATTGCCACCTCGAATTCTACACCGGCGATATTGTATCATTTATGGCACAGTTTGGGAGAGATCGGAAACCAAAGAGGAATAGCATGCTTAAGTGTGGCTGTTTCCTTAACAAATGCTACCAATAAGCATGCTTACGATACACATTCCATTCTGGTAGGCACTTGTCTCCTCATCTGTAATCAGGGAGATTGGCTTCTTCTAGAGAAACTGGGTGGAAGAGAAGCTAAAAAACTCAGCTTTACTGAGCATGGTGGTGTTCCCTCTAGCTCTCTTTCAATCGGTGAGAACTGTAAAGACAAAGTACAGAGGGAGAATATGAATCAGAACAAAAATATTCTTAATTTGCCACGTTAATAGGCTTCACATGCAAAAGCAACTCTCTTATTATTCTAACCCATGAATGCAGTCCCTCTGTCAGGGTTTATCACATGAAATGTGTGAACTCTAGAAGCAGAAGTATTGAACTCTTTTCAACCCTGATTTTTATTTACTTAGTGTGTGTGTGAAGGGAAGGAATGTGTGTATATGTGCTCTTGTATGTGTATGCCTCTGGGTGTGTTGTTTGTGTGCATGCACATGCATGTGTAAAAGCCAGAGGTCAACTTCCAGTACCTTCCTCAGTTTCCCTCCATCTAATTTTTTGAGGCACACTCTCTCCCTGAGCCCTGGTGTTCATCGGTTTGGCTAGGCTGGCTGGCCGGCTCTGGGACTCCGCCTGTCTCCTCTCTTCTGTTGCTGTGAGTTCAGGTCCGTTCACCACACCCAGTTTTCACATGGGTCCTGGGAATCTGACCTCAGCTCTTTATGTTTGTATAGCAAGCGCTCTACCAACAGCTCAGCCCCTCAACCCTAATCTAAAAATCATCAATAAATCTAGAAATATTAGAAATTAAAAATAGACTAAATTATTTTTAACAGTACAGGAGATCAAACCCAGGGCCTTGTACATGCTAGGTAAACTATCACTTAGCTATTCCCCTAGTCCTACTAGTTTTTATTATATTCAAATTTAAAACTTTCAATAGCAAAATGCTGGCATAAAGTTAAAAAAAAATGAGTTGAGGAGAATCAAGATGGCGGTCACTGGTGGCCAGCTCAGCCTGAGCATCTTGCTCCAGGCTCTTTGCAACATCAGCTGTAGCCTCAGCCAGGGCCCTGGTTTCTCCCGGGAGTGAGCACCTTTCTTCTGGCCTGGTGAGGCGGGATCTAGAGAGGACCACTGTGATGAGAGGAGGCTGTGAGGAACAGAGAGAGCAGCTCTCCAGCCCAACAGGCACCATGACTGGGATCATCAAGAAACAGATCCTGGACACCAGGAAGCACCTAGACAACGGAACACTAAGGGTTGAGGTAAACACCTCAGCCCCACTCCCAGCAGGGCACTGTGGGAAGTGAGTTAGTAGATGGTGGAGTGATGGGAGAGAAAGAGAGCAAAGAGGTGGTGGAGACAAGTGGTTAGTGCCCTATGAAGTGAGGCAGTTGCTGTTCCTGCTCCTTGGGAAAAGGTGGCTCACACTGCCCATCAAGAGAGCCAGTAACAAAGGCAAGAGCTAGCGGCCCTGTGCCTTCTTCCTTTGAGAAAACCAACCACTGAGTGAGTCGCTGTGACTCCCAGAGCCGCATCCTAGGCCAGGAAGAAGAGCAGTGTCTGCAGAATGGGGACGACTGACTGGACGTGTCCTGCTGTGTTTACTTCTCATCCGTGGCCTGACTGCTAATCTTTCTAGCTGTGGTGGTGGTTCAACAAGGAGACTTGATGACACTAGGTTAACTGCAGTTTTACTGTGCGACATCTGACTTGGGCCCGAGACTTATTTCCTTTGAAGCTTTGGATTTGACAAACACTTGAAGACAGCCAGAGACCCTGCCCCATATGTGGCCCACCCACAGCAGGAGCCACTACAGTGTGCAAGTAAGGGGCAGAGAGATGGGAAAGAGAAGCATAACAGTCTGTGCAGTATGAAGAGAGGCAAATCTGGAGACTCAGGGGTGGAGAGGAACAGTCTGATGTAAATAGCTTGCAAAGCCACCTGAGGCCATGGTGAAGTCCTGGCCCATGCTGCTGCTGTGGGCCATGTATAGGTCCATGTCCATGCAGCAGCTAGGGTCTGTGTCGATGTCCATGGTCCATGTTACTACCAAAGGCCATGTGGATGCCCCTGGTTTAGACTGCTGCCTGGGACCACGTTGATATCAATGGCTGCACAGAGTTGGCCCCTCCCCTTGCTGCCTGCAGCATTGGGTGAGCTAGCCAGGGCAGTGCTGAAGAGCTCACTGTGGTGGTAAGGATGCAGGAGAGCTGGCAGGCTGACCAACCAACTCAGCCTGGTCCAGATCCAGGGCGATGAGTTGGCCCACCCCAACATCCACCCCATCTATGAACTGCTAGAGCATGTGAAGGGGCCAGTCCTGCAGATTCAAAGCTGCAGGACCTCCATGACATAAGGCAACAACAGGATATCCACAAGGAGTCCCAGTGAAGGCCCTGTATTGATAGTGTGGTAGAAGCCAGGGTCCTCAAACCAGACCAGTGACTCTTTGCAATGAACATTTGCAAGTAAAGATATATGGAATAAAGGGTATGTGACTCACTATGACACACTACAGCTTCCATGATGAGATTATTTTTTAATTTTTCATTCAGGGAGAGGGAGGAAGTTGTAAGGGCAGAGGGCAGGTACAAAGGGATGGGGAAATGAGTAGGATTGGGTACAGGATGCGAAATCCACAAAGAATCAATAAAAAGTTAAAAGAAAACATTGGAAGACTCATCCATTATGGGTGGCCTGCTCCCTGGGTTTGGGTCTTGTACTGTTTAAGTAGGGATGGGACTGGGCACAAGCAAGCATGCATACATTTATCCTGTCTGCTCTTGACTGGGAAAGCAGGCAGCGGCTTCAAGTTCCTACCGTGACTTTTCTGCAATGATGGACCATAACCAGGAGTTGTATGCCAAATAAACCCTTTCTCCCTTAAATTAAAAATAAAAAGTTGCAAACTAGGTAAAATGCAAGATATATGATGACAGAAGACTGTTGAAAGACATTTACATTCTGGTTCATCCCATGTCCATCAGTGCACAATGAAATGTGCTGCCTATCCAAATACAGATGAAGAGCTTTGTCTCTTGTCAGGGAAATGTGCCCAGAACACCACAAAACTAAGATCCAGACATGGTGAGCATTACTATAATCCCAGCACTTGGGAAGCACAGGGAGGAGGTTCACCATGAGTAGTCCAGCTTATTCTACATAATGAGTTCACGACCAGCCAGAGATTTGTAGCAAGACTCTGGCTCAAAGCACCAAGCCTGTAACTGGAGGCAGAGCTTTTTGTCCCATCCACCTGATTACACTTGGCAGTCATTTCCCAAATTACCACTCAGAGGCTTATATTAATTATAAATGCTAGGCCAATGGCTCAGGCTTATTACTAGCTAGCTCTACATTTAAATTAACCCATATTTCTTATCTGTGCTTTGCCACATGGTTTGTGGCTTGTTGCCTCATTTTCTACATGTCTTGCTTCCTCAGCGGCTGGCTAGCATCTGGCCTGACTCTGCCCTTCTTCATCTCTGTCCTCAGTTTGATTGTACTGCCTAACCTCATCTTGCCTCCCTATTGACCAAAACTGCCTTATCAACCAATGAGAGCAAGACATATTTACAACATACAGAAGGACATCCCACTGCACCAAGCCAAAACAAATGGCCAAACACACAAAATGTGATCTTCTTTGTTAGTAGGTAAAGACACATACAGTGTGTGTTTATGCTGACGTTTTAAGATTCGGAGGATGAAGCCTATCTGAATGGGCCTGTACTGGCAGCTGCAGATGATTTTCAAACCCTGTGTGCCCTCATGTATTTGCTGATATTTTACAGTAGGGGTGTTTTGGTTTTGTGCTCAGAGAGGACACTGCTATTTACACCTTGAAGACAGAGTAAAGAGTATCATTTTCCTGCCTGTATTGGAGACCTTGGTTTCCCAGTTCTGCTTGTGACTTAGTGCCCTTTCTTAACTGCTCCAACTCTCTGTACATCACGTTGTTCCTTAATCTTATTTTGCCCTTAATTTGGGTGTCATTTTTAGTTTGTCTGTTTAGGTGTTTTTGCAGTATTTGGGACTGAACCTGGAACTTAGGCGTGGTAGTCAGGCAGTCTGCCATTGAGCTCTGTCCCCACCTCCACGGGTTTCCTTGTTGCTCCATTCATGAAGAGAATGACTTAATGCTTGACCTTTTCCCCAGCCTCCCAATAGCTGTCAGACTCTAGAGTTTCTTCCCTAGATCTGTGGAGCATCTTCTCATCTCACCTCCCTAAAGAGGGCTGTAAGCATCTTCTGGAAAACTGAGTCTTGACTCTGTGTACACTCCCTTAGTTTGTTGGGTTTTAATGACCCTGCAGGTTGGCATGAAAAGCCTGCTGTCACTGCCATGCCCTTTCCTGTCTCCCTACACTTAGTCACAGCCACTCTTAACTTCCCAGAGGTCCTTGGGTAAATGCTTCCCTAATGGTTCCTGCTTTTGCCTCTTCCTGGGCCTCTCTCTCTCATAATGACTAGGCAACTCCTGTTCTCTCTCAGACACCTCCCATGCCCTCTGCTCAGTAAGTCTCAGCAGCCTACCTGGAGTCCTCTGTGTGGAGTCACACGCTTTCTTTTATGTATGTGTGTACTGTGTTTTCCATAATTAAGCATTCTAGCCTCCCCCGGCTTCCCACCTTAGCTAAGAAGGAGTGACTTCAAAACAGCAGCTCCACCCTAGCACCTTGTAGAAGATACTCGAGTATTCCCTGAGCCAAGTATGTCTTCACTGTGATGTCTGCTTCTCATGTGAACAACTTTGTTACTTTTTACCTTTTGATGATGGGAGCTCTCAAGGCCAGAAGCCTGAGGAACATTTTCATCACCTCCCTCTCCTTGCTCCCTTAGGCTTCTGATGATGAGTCCTACATCAGCGACGTGAGTGATAACATATCTGAAGACAACACCAGTGTCGCGGACAATATTTCTCGGCAAAGTACGCATCATTTGAGTGTCCAGTTTGTTCTGTCTACATGCTGGATCACAGCCCGGGGAATCACTAGCCAGTCAGTCCCTTCTGCTCCAGTTATCCCCTTTCAGTTAGTTAGGGGTAGAATCTGTCAGGGTGTGCTATTGTAAAAATCTGTTGGGTGTGTGGTTAAGTAGAGAAACTTGACCTCTTGTTCAGACCCAAATGTCAAATCTCTCTTGTTGAAATACACACACACACACACACACACACACACACACACACACACACACACGCACGCACGCACACACACGCACACATGCACACATGCACGCACGCGTACGCACATACACACAGAGACAGAGAGAGTGTGTGTTAGTTTTTAAATAATGTTTGAGTATATTTAAAACTTCACTTAAAGCCTACTCTGATGCTTTGCACATTTGTTCTCAACTTCATATAGAAATGATCCTATGTATGAAGGAGGCTGTGATTAGATGTATTACAATCAGAACTCTATGAAAGGGTTCTCCTTTCCACTCTGATTTTGTGAAACCAGAGAGGGGAGGCTTCACTCACTGTACTTCTTCCTCTGCCAGTCCTGAATGGGGAGCTCACAGGAGGTGCCTTCAGGAACGGCCGCCGCACGTGCCTGCCTGCTCCTTGCCCTGACACCAGTAACATTAACCTGTGGAATATCTTGAGAAACAACATTGGCAAAGACCTATCCAAGGTCTCCATGCCTGTGGAGCTCAATGAGCCACTCAACACACTGCAGCACCTCTGTGAAGAAATGGAGTACAGTGAGCTCCTGGACAAGGCCTCGGAGACGGATGACCCCTATGAGAGAATGGTAATGGAGGGCAGGGCAGGACTCATTGAGGACCTGAGCTAGGCTGCAGCCATCCTGTAGACAACCTTTCTGTTGGTATAACATTCTCGCTGTGTTAGGTATTCGAGAAGATTTGGTCTGTGTGCATAACCAAGCAGGGCCAGAAATTTCTAGATACTCTTATTGGAAACTACTTATGTTGTGAATTTTCCATGGCCTAGATGCCCACAGGGGTCTCAGCCCGTAACATTGCCATATGGAGTCAATTTGCAAATGTGTTGGGCCTCATTCATAGCTATCCTGAGATGCATGTTGACCTTGAGCTGCAGGTTGGGGACACCTGCTGGCCTAGAGTGTTCCCTAGAGTTTGGCAAAGAGGTTAAAACCTCCTTGGAGGTCAAAAGTTTGCCAAACCTTGCTTTGTCAGCTACTCCCGTGTGCCAGGAGAGCCCATCTGTTCAGGGGCATAGTTCTAAGCAAGCAACTTGCTGTTGGTACTTTGCCCTCTACTCCATAAGGCTGGAAACCTTGACCTCTGCTCTAACCAGCACCAGTAGCCACACCTTCATGCCTGTGGGGCTAAGGGTATGCCCACGATGTGGCTAACAAACTGGCTTCCAGAACCTTTGACATCTATGATAGTCAGGAAATCGGGTGGGCACATGAATGAAGAGCATTTGACTTCAGTTGCCTGACACTTATCCCTTCCCGTGCATTGATGAAGAGTCAAGTAATTGAAAATACAGGCATCGTCAGATCAGCACCCCTCAACATGGAGTGTGTGTGTCCTGTGGGGGTAGAGACACACAGCCCTGGAGTGGTCTCCTACATCGTGCTCCTTTCTCAATGTCTTCGCAGGTTCTCGTTGCTGCTTTTGCAGTCTCAGGGTATTGCTCCACCTATTTCAGAGCAGGAAGCAAACCATTCAACCCCGTCCTGGGGGAGACCTATGAGTGCATAAGAGAAGATAAGGGCTTCCGGTTCTTCTCAGAACAAGTAAGTGAGGCTGCCGTCCAAGTTCAGAGGACAGTTTAGTGAAGAGAAAAGCTCTAATAACTGTGTGACTGGGACAAGCTGTCTTACCAGTTAAGAGAAATACGTAATTTAATTGCATCATCATCCCCTCTAAGTGTATGTGGGTTCTCTGTGTTTACCCATGTCTTAAATATTAACGACTTACTTATAGTTTTGAGGTGAATTTCTTATTAGAACTGGGTATTCTAGTTGTCATGGTGGGGGGATGATTTTACTTTTTAAAATAATATTGTTGATGTTGATGATGTATGCATGTAATCACAGCACTGGGTGGAGGCAGCAGGATCAGGAATTCAAGGCCAGTCTTAGCTGTAAGTTTGAAGCCAACCTGAGCTACATGAGACCCTGTCACAAAAAAACAAAAACATCATTTATAGCAGTTGGAATACTAACATCATTTCTCTCTCTCTCTCTCTCTCTCTCTCTCTCTCTCTCTCTCTCTCTCATTCTTTCTCCCTCTCTTAAATTACCAGGTTAGCCATCATCCACCCATTTCTGCCTGTCACTGTGAATCGAAGAACTTTGTCTTCTGGCAAGGTTTGTATTTCAATTACAATTGAAAGCCAAATGTATAAGACTGTGGAAAATGTCTAGCTATGAAAGTACACTGTGCTCAGTGTGATTGCTGCCTTGGGAGCTCAGAGACTATTAGTAAATGCTGGTAGGGATCATCCTGAGAAATTAAAATTTCCAGCTTACTATGCAGCCATGTTGTCTTGGAAATGAGATGCCGAGCCTGCAGAACGTCAGCTCCACGTTGCCCATTCCAGCCTAGAACCCTCACCTTGTCTGGTGCCTTATGGGCCTCCGTACTGTGGCTCTGATGTCTCTTGCCCTCTGCTCTTGGAGTATGTGCAGAGATTTTCACTGGCCAAAGGAATGCTCACTGGCACATCTGTCTAGGCATCTGGTCAACCAACATGTCCACGTGTATTTGCAGAGTCAGCCAACCTAGATGAACAGCGCTCAGAAAAACTATCCGTACTGATCATATGCAGAATAGTTTTCTGTTATTCCCCCAAGAAATGTAACAATAAACAACCATTTCCTAAAGACCGACGTTGGGTTAGTTCTTACAGGTAATGCAGAGATAATTTCAAGTATAAGAGAGCAGTACAGCTTTTATATGCAAATATCTTGCACTTTTTATGTAAGAGACACAACCATCGGCAGATTGTGGTATAACATATAGATAGATGTTCTGGAACACCCCCTCCCCCAAACAGCAACAATTTAAACACTTATGTGATTCATGGTCTTTTGACTCTTTGGAGCTGGGGCTTTGAAATAAAGTCTCTCCTAATTAAGGCTCATTGCTGTGGTGCAATTTTTCAGTTTTACCTAAAATAAAGTTTTCAAAACCCCCTTAGGAAAAATAGAATGCATTTGCTGACTTGACTATTAAGTGTCAAATAGACCTTTGCATGTGGAAGGTGCTTTGTGGTTCACAGGAAGCATTGCCTTAACTCGAGAGCACACAATGACAGTACTGTACCTGAACTCTATGGCAAAATAAGAGGATCATTCTTGGTTATAAGCCAGAGTCAGAAGTTCTATGAAGACAGCCCTAAGCTTCCTTTGTTTATCCAAATGGGACTAGGTGGATTATTACAGATTTGCAGGTAGATCTGAGTCTCCATGTGGAAATATAAAGCCATTGAATAGGAGGAAGTGGTGGGCCTCTGGTTGTGTCTTAGCCAGTTCGGGAATGCGTTAGAAAGTGCTGGGCCTTGGGCTGTGTGTCTCAGCCAGTGTAGAGACAGACATATTTATTAAGTTCATCCCATGTGCTCATAAATCCTCACTATCTCTATATAAAGATTTTAGTTTATTTTTTTATCTTTTGCTATTCTCCTCAGACCTAACTCCTGTGTGTATAAGGGGGAGATGTGTTATAAGTCAGTGGTATTACCATACTGCAGTTATTTTTACATATACTTCAGGCTTTATGTATGGTGACTATTTTTTCATTTAGTCAAAACTTAGCATCTATTATTATCTGGGGATCAGTGCACCCTAAGGTCTATGTTCATATGCATATGTGAGTACCTCCTACCTGTACGCATTCTATTCTGGCTTCTGGAATTTGTTTCATAAATGGAAACAAATAGGGAGCATGGTTATGAAGGGAGAAATAATGAATCTGGAAAGAATCACAGTATTTTCACCTTGGCTATTTTCAGGTCTTTGTGATGTTAAATAATAGTACAGAATCAGTTATAATTACAAAAGTGTTTTGTAAACTCTAATCCCAGTATTAGTTTTTACAGACCTGATCGGCTGTGGAGCATTGAATTTCTGTCCCCTCACTGTCTCATCTAGATATCAGATGGAAAAACAAATTCTGGGGAAAGTCGATGGAAATCCTGCCTGTTGGAACCCTGAATGTTACGCTTCCAAAGTAGGTTGCTCCCCTCTCCTCTCGGGCTTCTTCGCTGCTCTTGCAGTCCAAGTGGGTATGCTGAAAGGCTCAAAGGGTCCAGTTCCCTGTGTGCCCAAAGCCTCTGTTACCTTCAGCACAATTCTTTCAGGACGGGCTTCCACAAAAACAAACAGTCTTAGCCCGTGTACCCCAGCTTCCTGCTTCTCTCCTGGCATCCTTCTGATCAGCCCCTGCCATGTTCTCACCAACATTTTAATCTGCATTTGTATTAGCAAGCCCTCCCTTTACCAGTTTCTTTTCTATACTATTTATAATTTCACTTTTATATCTATCTTGCTTAGATAAAGAACCTATTTTCAGTTTCTAAGTTATTTATAAAAAAAAGTAACGATGTAATTCTTTTATACCATATTCTATATAAAAAAAATTTAGAAGAGATGGGCTATAAATATTTTTAAATTACTTGGTTTGTATTGAGGACAAAGATATGATTTTGTTGCTTTTTGGTTGTTTGGTTGATTTGGGTTTTATCTACTTGGGTGGTAGGATGTGCTGGGGTTTGGAGATAAAGAGATGGTTTGGTATATAAAACCACTTCAGCGGGAATGTGAGGACCTGAGTTCGAATCCCCAGAATCTATATACATGGCATGAGTGTCTGTAATCCAGTGCTGCTGTGGGAAGATAAGAGGTGGAGACAGAAGAATCCTCAGAAAACGTAGGCCAGCTAGCCTGCAGTACGCAGCAGAGAAACAAGAGTGACCCTGTCTCTGAGTGGGAGGCAAAAACCAGAACCCGAGGCTACCCTGTGACCTCCACACACATGCCCGTGCACCTGTGTACACACACGCATAAGCACACATGCATGCGTATACATACACAGGCACGCATAAGCACACATGTGCATGCATATGAATACATAGGCATGCATGTGCACACACAACCTACTGACAAACTGGATATGAACAAAGGTGAGATGAAAGAGATAAACTTTCAATAAGTGAAAATTCATGAAGAATAGTTTTCCCAGGTGTCTCTAATACCTGTTTCACACCAGTTGGGCCTTAGAAGTGTTTTATTTCGTTATGAAATATAATTGTACTTGAAAAAATACTAATGTATCCACTTAACATCTGATTTGTGACCATGACATTTCACGGCTTGGCATAAATTCTGTGCATCATTCCCCAGAATATATATTGGATTTGTGCCCTAGATGGGCTTGTTTGCCTTCTCACCTCCTTCCTAAAGAATGACTCCATCTTAATCTTTATTGGGACCGTGTACTATGAGAGTTTTCTGGGAGTCATTGTTCTCAGATGTGTATCTGATTGTGCTTCTTCCCCTGGATCCTTCCACAAGTACTCATTACCTGCCGGGAAATGGGGACTCTCCAGTTGGTCATTAAATGCCTTCCCTGCCCTCCTCATGACCTGGAGCACACCACTGACAGGACCCCAGATACCGGGTTCTTCTCGCCTTGTGCCTCGTAGAGGTTTTCCCTCCATACACAGTGCCCACCACCCACCACAAACCTACAGAGCCAGCCTCATCTGGTACCTCTTACTTGATAATCACTCCATGTTTCCACAAAGCTGAGGACTAACCCCCCTTCTGCTCATGATGCTGTGTTCAGTTGCAAATAGTAGCCCTCACGATACTTGACTTTTTTCAGTGTTTGCTTACCTGTCACTGTATCCCGAGCATACTCTTAGTCCCAGGGGGCAGAAAAGAGGCATTGTTGAACTTAGCAGTGTTAGTTCCGTAGAGAACACTCATTGTTCATTCCTTAAGTCAATGAATCGTGTCATGCCTATTTATGACTACACAGAAGTTTTTAAGAAATGAGGGGAAGTGAGGGGAAAGAAAGTTTTTACCCAAAGAACATTCTCTCTTGTAGGAACAGTGATATGTCTGTGTCCATTACTTTTGTTCAGTGCTGTATTCTTTGTAGGTATGGAGATTACTACGTGTGGAATAAAGTCACCACGTGCATCCACAACATCCTCAGTGGGCGAAGGTGGATCGAGCATTATGGTGAAGTGACCATTAGAAACACCAAAAGCAGCGTTTGTATCTGCAAGCTCACATTTGTCAAGGTGAGAAGCACCTTAGAACAGAAAAGCCAAGATCCTGCAGAGTGCTTCCTAAGGAAGAAATGCAAGAAAATCTTCCCTGTATCGTATCTTAGGGCATTTTAGCAAGAAACCACAATTGGCTTACAGCGTTGCTTGAAGAATATAAACTTGTGAATCTGTGGAGATCAAAAATATCGTGTCAGAAAAATAAGTTTATTTTTAAAGAATCTTGTTTTTACATAGCCAGCCAGGATACTAAGTAAAATTCTGGAACACATTTCATTCCTAAATTGAGTCCTTTACTTTCTATTACTGCCTGATTACAACTTAAATATATTTATGTGATTATTTAGGGCTCTGATTCTAATGTAGTTGTCAGTTCTTGGAAATACTTGAGCAGAGCCATGTAAATGATAGCTACAGTCATTGCAAACCCATCTAACCCTGCTCTGTAACAATCCAAATCGGGCCAAGAGAAAGCATTGCCTTCATTTACTAGAAAATGGATTATGGAAAGAAATGCCCATGGGACACCATTTCCCCTAGGAACGCTGGTCTGAAGTAGAAATACAACATACACCCATGTTTGTTTAAGTACATTACAAGATTCGCCAATTATTTTGATATCATGTCCAGGTGAAGTTCATTAAGTTCCATGAGCAAAGGGAGAGAATTCAAGGCAGAATCACTAACCTGTGAGTTAATATTGGGCTCTTCAGCTAACAACTGACCTGGAGCTAGAGATTCGCATGGTATCATGCTGTGGCATGGAGCAAAGTTCGGGCTGCTTCTTTCTTGGCTTTTGTTGGGTTTTGTACTGGGAATCAAATCGAGGACCTTGGCCCATGGTAAGCCAGTGCTCAGAGCGACACCCCTAACTCCAAGACTAACCACTACTTAGAAACTAACCTAATCAATTACTCTGGCACACCACTATCCTAGCACTTGCGAGTTTGAGGTAGAAGGATTGTGAGTTTTGTGCCAACCTGGGCTACCCAGGAAGTTCCAGGCCAACTTAAACGATGTTAGTGAGACCCTCTTGAGATAGAAAGCAAGAAGGACAACCTTCCATATGTGTAAGATGTGCTGAGCTCCATTCCAAGGCAAAGAACATTTTGCATATAGAAAGGACAGGTTGGCATTACTAAAGCGCTTGGGTTGCTTGTCTTCCAGGTGAACTATTGGAACTCCAACGTGAATGAAGTCCAGGGGGTGGTGATTGACCAGGAGGGAAAGGTGGTACACCGGCTGTTTGGGAAGTGGCATGAAGGTCTCTACTGCGGGGTGGCTCCCTCTGCAAAGTGCATCTGGAGACCAGGTGAGAGGCCTGAGCTTCTTGGTCAGGAGGCTGCGGGCAGCTGAAGGGAGGGAACGGAGGGGCATACCATGCAGTTTGCCGTGCATTTCCTTTTGATCGTGAGATCTAAAATGTAAATGCTCAAGGCACTCGCAGTTATATTTACGTTCAACAAATAAGTTTTGTGTAAAACCCTCTGTTTGATACTTGATAATTAAAAAATGGACCAAAATCATTGACATGCAGTAAACTGACCTGTTAAAATCTGCCGTGGGAAATTGCTTTAAACATTATGCATACATGCAGATGCTAGGTGTACTAAATAAAGAATTTAAATAATTGAAATACATAAGCAAGCCCTTGTTCATGTTGTTTACTTTTTAAATAAAACAAAGGAAATGTAATATCTGTAATCCTAAATTCAGTAACTTGCCACAGTTAGTGATCTTTTTCACTTGAGCAAGAAAACTGCTACATGCTTAACAAAAGACGTCAGCAGAGCCAGGCAGCACATTAGCATATATTAGCATATTACTGAATATAAAGTATAAGTGGCAAAAAATTCTCCATGTGACATTTATTTTTATTGGAACTTTTGTCAGGTTGTCTCCAACTTTCAAGATAGGTGGTTTCCTAAAAGACACTGTCACGTGTTTATAAATTTCCTGCTGGTAGAGCAGTTAATTCATCCATTATTAGTAACTACTTACTGAGTATTGACCATGCATCAGCCTTGTTCTAGGAGGTTGGAATACTTCAGTAAGCAAAGCAAACAAGGATTTTACCTTAGAATTACAGACAAGCACGAACAAGAGGTTGGGCTGTAAAGCAGTGGTAGGGTACTTCCTGGCATAAGTCAGGTTCTGGCTATCCAGCAAGTGTCTTGCTTCACTGCTACGTGTGATGCTGCATGTCTGTAGTCCTAGTACTTGGGAGCCTGAAATAGGAGGATTGCTAGAACCCAGGAGTTCAAATGAGACTGGACAGCAAGGAAGGTATTGTTAAAAAGGGAGGGAGGGGAGGGGAGGGAGGGAGGGAGGGAAGGAAGGAAGGAAGGAAGGAAGGGTGGGTGAGTGGATGGGTGGATGGATGGATGGATGGATGGATGGCTCAGTGGATAGATGGATGACTCTCAAGGCTGGCAAGATAGCAGCCGATTAAAGGTGCTTGCTCCCAAACCTGACAACCTGAGTTTAGTTCCACAAGTTGTTCTCTGTCCTCTGACCTCTGCACACGTACTATAGCTCAAACTCTGTATGTGTGAGAGAGAGACACACACACACACAAACAAATTTTTAAGACAGAATAGAAAAAAATTAAAGAGCCCACAATATGGCTCTGAAGGTAAAGGTTCCTGCTGCCAAGACTGAGTTCAATCCCTGAAATCCACATGAAAGAAAAAGAAATCAGTGGGGCTGGAGAGATGGCTCAGTGGTTAGGAGCACTTGCTGCTTTTCCAGAGGACTGGGGTCATTCCCAGTATCCATGTGGGGTGACTCACAACTGCCTACACTGTCTGCACCTCCAAATTCAAGGGACCCCACATTCTCTTCTGGACTCTGTGGGACCTGCACTCATGATACACACATACATAAATAAAAATAAGCTCTGAGAAAAACAGAGAATGAAAACTGAGCCGAAGAAAGAAACCAAGCATATGGTACTCTCTCTCTGTCTCTCTTTCTCTGTCTCTCTCTCTGTCTCTTTCACACACACACACACACACACACACACACAATGTTAAAAATAATTTTTAAATATTTTAAAGGAATACTAATAATATTTTTATCTGCATCTTTTTAATGAAGTAAATGGCAGATGTTTCTGGTGAAATGTTCATCTTTGTGGCTAACTAGCCTGGTCTTTAGTTACCTAATTGAATATTTGAGAGGAAAATTCTGTGTCCAGCCAATGAAGACTATTAATGTAATGCAAGGTTTTATTTAAAGGTGGGGTTTAATTAAATATGTTACTCTTTCAGTTGTGACCATCAACATAAACTTTCTCACCTAGAAACCTTTAATTACTCGAAAGGAAATCCCGGTGTCGTGTGCATGAGTACAAGCCCGTTTGTAGGCTGGGCTCTCATTATGCGCTCTTCCTGATGAGGGAAGTTGGCTCCATCCCTTGCTGGGAGCCTGTCCCTCTCACAGCTGTTCTCGGCCTCTCTACAGGTTCTCTGCCAACCAACTACGAGCTCTACTATGGCTTTACAAGGTTTGCTGTGGAGCTCAATGAACTGGATCCTGTCCTGAAGGACCTCCTTCCTCCCACAGATGCCCGATTCCGGCCAGATCAAAGGTCAGAGTGGCAGCAGAGTTTCTGCTGGATCCTAGATGACAATGTGGGTGTCAGAGGTCACTGGGACTCTTCTCCATCATTTGTTTGCTCCTTCATACATTCTTTCTTCCCCGTATTCGCTCCGAAATACCTGAGTTCTTACTCTGGGCAAAATAGCGCTTGTAGAGTCATTATAACAGAACAGTATTCAATGGCCAGTTGTGTTGGACAGGAACAGAAAGCTTCCACATATTTACCGAATGTCTAAAATCTCAGGTGGTCACTACAGAAGTGTGCCTCACCCTGTGTTTTTGGCCTCTTTACACATTTAAACTGTGTCATTTAAACTGAAGACAAGAGTGACAGGAGCGGCCCGGCAGTGGTGGCGCACACCTTTAATCCCAGCACTCAGGAGGCAGAGGCAGGCGGATCTCTATGAGTTCGAGGCCAGCCTGGTCTACAGAGTGAATTCCAGGACAGCCAGGGCTACACAGAGAAATCCTATCTCAAAAAAAAAAAAAAACACAACAGCATCTGGAAGTGACCTGACCTGAATGAAAGGGAGCTTTCTCCACATACGTCGGTCCCACAGGGTGTGGAATTGTACTCAAACTACCACACTTACTTTTTGTTATTTTTAAATGATCATGATGTCCACTTGTACAGAATTAATTTCTCCTAAAATTCTAGATGTCATCCACATTCCACTGAAGATCCGTTCTCTGTTTCCCATGTGTGTTTGGAGTTTTTCCCTTCAAAAATGTTTTTGCTATGACTTTGACTTCATTCTATTCTACATATGATTCAATGTACTCTCCTAAAAATTGCAGTTTATGTTCCTCCCAGAATATATATCTCACTGATTAACATTTAATTTCATCAGTTAACTTTGTACAATGTATATTGCATTATGCCCCTCTCCTTTGCTCTTGTTTTGAAATGTAAAGGTGTGTGTGTGTGTGTGTGTGTGTGTGTGGTGGTGGTAATCCAACCCAGGGCCTGTGTGTGTTTAGCAAGCTCCTGTCCACCACAGAGCCCCATGCCAGCCACAGATGTAAACCTTCATGCCAGCCACAGATGTAAACCTTCACAAATCATCCTTGGGTTCGTTTTCACCTTCTCAATTCTATTCCAGTATACCTTCTTTTCATCATTCTAACATTTCCCAGTAAAAAAAAGAAAGATCCTCGCCTCTCAATCTGTTCTCTGAATAGAGGACAGCCAATCACCATCCAGCATCCCATAGCCTTTAACAGATCCATTTGGCACTATGAAGAAAGGAACCCAACTTTGTGACTTCATTTTGTTCTTACTCTCCACTGCCATTCTCCAGAAAAAGAAACCTAAGGTTTTAGAACCTCAGACAGCACAGAGCAGTGTTCAAGGCCAAGCCAGTCACCCGCCCCCTTATCATACCGTTGTGTTCCTGAATGTAGTAACTCAATCCACATGTACAGAAACTATATTAATTGATGAACAGACTGAGGACATATGGCCTAGGACAGGGGTGAAGGGACATCAGCAATGTCACCACTGTTAAGGATGTTACATTCTCAGCAGCCAGCAGGTAATTTTATGCCAATATTTTTTTTCCAAAAAACACTGACATTGGAATATCAACTGTATTCTGCTTAGGTTTTTAGAAGAAGGAAACTTAGAAGCCGCAGCAGCAGAGAAGCAAAGAGTTGAGGAACTCCAAAGATCTCGAAGACGGTACATGGAGGAAAACAACCTTGAACATATACCAAAATTTTTTAAGTAAGTCAGCCATTCCCAGAGCAAGCTTATGTTTTGCTAAAGGTTGCCAGAGACCACGAGGAAAAGAGAGTGGCAGATTGTCTGGGGAACTTAAACTGATTTGGGTAGCTTTACATGGGACAGTGAAAATACTGAATTGGATTTTGTGCATGTGAAAATTAAGTTACCCAACAGTTAGTTCCTCTCAATGGGTCTTTTCTTTCTGTGGACAGTGAGATAGGGAGGGGCTCACCAGGAGGCATTTTCACTTTATCTGGACCCATTGGAGTGCCAGAAAGGTATTCCCTCCCTTCATGCAAGCAGCAGTTGAGATTCTGCCCCCAAGGGCACCATGACTTCATGCGGATTTAATTTTATTTCTGTCGCACAGAGCTTGTTTCTGCTCATATTTTAGCCCCCACTGTGGTATGATCAAAGATGATTACTACAGGATTATTTAAAGGATTATGTAAACATCACAGAGATGAATCTGTAGTTTTCAGATCCATCATCTGTCATCCTCCTGCGCATGCTCAGAAAAGCTCAGGGCAACATCCTCCCCGTTAGAGCTTTCATCTCGTGATCATCTTGTGGTGGAAGTGCAGACTTACCATTCAGAG